TGGATAAGAGGCCTGGCTGATCATGCTTGAGAGTGAAGTTCTCGTCTTCAAAGCTCTTGTAGCCCCAGATGCAGGTCGATCCTGAACCATCGTTATTGAGAAAGTCACCACCTTGGCACATGAAGTTTGGGATCTGTTCCTCAAGTTAGGATTGTACCTGTCATCGGGGATACGAAACTCACTATGCGGTGGAACTTGGAGCCCTTGTAGCCCTGAGGACGGCCGGCACTGTTCTTGCTCTCGCCGGTGCAGAACTGACGAAAGTTCTCAGCTGTCTTTGGTACAACATCCTTAAACAGCTCGATCTGGATGCGACCAAGAGGTTCACCTGATATTGTTAGTTTGAATTGAGAACATTGATTGAGTGCTCGAAGACAACAATGATATCGACAGGGTCATCACGGCCTATTCCGCAGATCACTGGGAATAGCCTCACTTTCGGCAGCGATGAGCTCCGTCTTCGGAGAACACACGGGAAGACTAACCTCCGAGAGTAATGTCAAGAAAGACACTATAAAGAACCGCGCAAAGGTCAGCCCACACACACCCTCTTCTATTGAGGAGCTGACTCAAAACTGCGCTGCGAGGTGCATCGTCTCTCCACCTCGAATCACCAGGGTAGAAGTATAATGCACCGCCATTCTATTCTGAGAGGTTTGGAAGGACTTACAGAGGATTTCCAGACTCGGGGAGCTTTGTAGGAGGCATTTTGAGGGATTGTGTGATTAGTTCAAGTTGTTTGTACGTTTTTGTCAAGATGTTTTAGACGGTGTGAAATGCAGCGTTAATCGGGCGGCCTGTTTCTTGCTGTGTTTTAGTGTGGAGCTGTCTAAGGCCTCGATTAGGAAGGCAGTGTGGAGGAAGATTGGGGGTCTATGATTGGTTGATTAACTTGAGAAGGAACGATAAGGTACTCAACCAGGCTCTTTCAATTTCTATCATTGCTTAATGCTTCCAGGTCATTTTTTTTATTTAGGTAAATTCGTTTCACGATTGCAACAGTCAATATTGAGACAGGATAAGCATTTTCAAGAGTATCGTACGTCTTTGGCTTCGGATCCAGATCTAACGCCACATCTCCGCTGAAGTACCCCATGAGGCATCTCGACCAGGCCATCAACTAAGCAAAGCGGGGGGTGGCATCCGGGGTTTAGGTCTATGAAGCCATTCGACGCCTTCTGGGCACGCCAGAGCCAAGCCAAAGCCAAGTGAAAGAGTTACGACAGCTGAGGGGTAGTGAAATGGATTCATCAATGTAGATACTTCAAATTGAATGATTTTGTCTGATATTTGATGTGTTCATCTGGTTCATAGACCCCAGGTTCCAGTATCACAGCCCAGACTTCTATATAACATCTCAAGCTAAGCATCACCCACGATCTAAGAAAGCCAGTAACGGCCTTGCCGTTACCCTAAGATCTATGGCTGAAGTCTACCTGGGCTCACCACTGATTCGTCAAAGCACATGCAATTTAGTGTGCATCTCGTCAAAAGCCTCCGAACAAGCCAAATCGATGGGAACGTTCTGATCGTCAAAACGTCTGACTAAGGACATCGATGCTCATGCAGCAAGAGTCAGGGTCCATCCATCTGTGATTTGACACAAGTGGAAAGGACTGGAGAGACACTGACAGGGAGGTTTTGAGCATATCAGTATGATTTGACAAGCATGTCACTGATGGCGATTGCTATGCTGTCGATGTTAAGATGGAGAGCCAAGACAACATAGCCTCATGGTGTAGACATCATAGACTCTGGTATTTGTAATTCACCTTAACAGAATCCAACGCACTTACATGGGATATGTCTGCACAGCCTGGCGTTGACGACGACATCCCCCCATCTCGGTAGTTGATTCTTCTCTGATGCTGGAGAGCTCCGGGTTTTGGCAAGTAACGTTAACCAGCGAAGATCTTACGTGGATTGAATCTTTGGCTTTTGCTTTGGTGTCTGACAAGACATTCGCAACTGTCTCGAGGCCTATTCTTTAACGTTTCAGTGACTGCGTCATAGCCCCATAAAGAATCAAGCACCAACTACCGGGATGCGCGGAACACACACGAAGCAATGACCTGATAAACCATGACGAGGCATGAGGCACGAGGACACAAGAAACTTCTTCTTCAACGATTGAAAATTGAGGTAAAAAAAAAAAAAAGAACCAACGAACCCGTTGCAGCCGAACCTCCCGCAGATTCCGGTTGTTTGAGGCTCAAACCCCGCTGACCTTCTTCCTGTCAGAGCGTTAATGCATCACAGCGAGGCATTTAGGATCCAATCGCCACAAGCCAAGACGATAGCCAGTAAGCCAAGACCCGCCAGAGAGGACGGGGTGCAGCACATTATCCCTGTAAGACCATCCCAAAAGCACAACCCACACAAGTTAAATCGACGCTAGGGAGCCGTGTGAGAGCTTAACGTGATGCACTGTAGTGTACATGTCGACTCTCTCTCTTGGTGCTGTGCATCTTGGAAGTGTTTCAGCATCGCTGGAGGTTGCTTCAATAAGTCTTGTCGTATTATCAAACCGCCTTGTTTTGATATTCTCTTGTTTGTTTAAAGATTGTCGTATCCCCACTCTTTGAGACAGTTGTCACCCGAGGCCTGAGGTGCATTGGAGGCCTGTGATGGGTTGACGATTGCATGAGAGCCATCCGATCGAAGGTTATGTCGTACAATGGCACTTCCCTACTGCAGGAACATCGTCATTCGAATTGAGCTGTTGTTTTTCATGATAATAAGCTACCTGCGAATTGACATTACCGGATTCGCCGTGAAACCTGGGCTTATGCATAGAGGCACCGCGTATTTCACCATCAATACGCAGGCACACGAACTCTATGTGCACTTTCAGCCACACTAAGGCCAACCAAAGATATTGAATGCGTCCCCTACGCCTACTGATCGTATGTGAACGGCTGAGCTGTGCCGCTTGTCTAGACCACCTAGGCCGAGGCCACAGCTGACAGTCTCAGCATCATCACCTGTCAACAACCTTGCCCCCCCTTTTTGGTCTTATTTTACCTCGAAACCTTTCAGTGTGCGATTTTGTTAAAACATTTTCGCATTAATTACTATCCTTCTTTTTGCCGATGACGATCCTAGTGGAGCGGTTCAGAAACAAGGAGCTCCGTGATGCGGGCCGGGCTTGAGACGAATTAAGTCGGCAACAAGTGGAGCCGTTTCGGTGGGAAGCGCTGTGATGCTTGTCATTATCCGGCCACAGTTTTGGGCCTCCAAAGCAAGCAAAAGAAAGGATAAATAAATAAATAAACAAAGCCTTCTGAGTAGGCGGCCAAAGCCAGTCCCCCAATACACCTTGATTGCCAGTTAGAACTTCAACGGCGTAAACCGGTGACTCGGAAATTTGCGAACGGCATGTTACTGTGGCGGAAGCTCAATAGTTGGTAAACTACCTGCTGAGATTAGTATTTACAGTGAACTATAGGTAGTGAGATGACTGCATCTGGAGTTGATTTAGACTTGAGTAGAGCTGACAGGTTGCTTAAAGTGAAACCGTAACGTGAGTCGGATCTGCCAAATGTAACCAGGCTTCCAGACTCTTGGAAATGGTTAATCTTGTTCATCCCGTCTCAGAAACTTGCCCTGTCTCATAGGACAAGGAAAATCCGATAATCAAAATTCCTCAAAATGAACAAAGCCCAGGAGCTCAGAGGAACCCCTGGTCAGAGTCCCTGTGCGCTTGAATGACGCCTTCAGACTTCGTCGTCCCCCGCGGACTGCGCCACGGATCACCTACGGATTTGAGCGACAGAGTGAAGCAAGCGTACTACTGCGTTAAATACGCCCGCGAATACGGAACAAGACTGCTTGTTGTATTGTAAATGCAACAAGGCAAGGTTTATCAACGGATGCCTCCGTTGACCTCTGGACCCTTATAGATCTATCAATCATGACATTCTCGGACATGCAGTTCCTCTAAAATGCCGGTGTTCAATGACTTTTGAGCACGCTATTTACTCATTATCTCATGGTTATCCAACACCTACCTACCTACCTACCTCATTCATCTCTTCAATTTGTCGCACGTCTTGATTCAGGCCAAGTCAATACTCATTTAACTTACATCCGTTGAGGATCTTGCAACTCAGACAATCACACGCGATATCTATCCAACGTCTCGTAATCCTCGAAACGGGCAATCTTTCCGACCAACCACCTCCCCCCATCACCCCCAAACCGCCAACCTCACACTCAAAACTCAGCACACCAACTCACTCAATCGTCGTTCCAGCCACAGACAAATCACCCCGTCAGTTCCACCCGTTGAATCCCCCTGTCAAGGCCCTCTACTCCAATTGGAACCGGCAGCGACCTCCCTCTTTCAGCAGGTCCAGTTCTCTCCACCTCCGCTAGCTCCAGCGCAGAGCAGTAGCCAGGGCCTCTCCAGGATTTCTCCAGCCCGCGCCGTGTCTTTTTAGCCTCTAGCCCTCAAAGTGGTCTAAGTTTTGCAACTAAAGAGGTACCGGCTCACAGTGCCCCTCACGGCTTGAGCCCCACTCGCTTGATAGACACAGCCAATCATCATCTGTCGCTGCCCCCCGGCCCGGTTTCGCTCGCCCCGTCCCCCATTCCTTTGGGCTCCTTCCTTCTCTTTTTATCCTTTACGCGGCCACTTTCGCACTTGCCGCTGGATCTGTCTCTTCTCTTGCTTTGCCTTGCCTGTTCTGCCACTCCACCTTCGCCCTCCCGGCTATTCTCACCTCACCAACTACTCGCTTCAAGTCGAGTATCTTCTCCTTCTTCCGTGAAGAAAGGGAGCTTCATACCACAGACATCGCATTTTCTGCATTCAGAAGGCGATTGCTGAGGCTTGGCAGTTATTAACTTTAATTGCCCCTGCCCGTGCATTATTTGCCGCCGCATCTGCCAGCGTTTGTCCTTGGACGGTCCATGGTACCCGCACGGAAGCCCGCGAGTTAATTCGAGCCAGCCTCACATTGCTCAGCATTTATTCTGGCATTTGCCCGGAAGCAAACATGGTTGCTGTTCATCAAATTCTGACCGAGGTCACTCATGTCGTCATTCGCGCTGCCGCCGCGGAGGATCCCTCGTCGACGACCTCTCACGCAGCTGCCGAGACGACAGACAGCGGAAATGAGAAGAAAGACAACGGAGGCGGGTCGAACTCACCTCTTCTCTTCTTTGTTGCTCTAGGCTTCGGTGTTGTCTTCACAAACTTATGGTGAGACTTGGCTTACGCACCCACATCTGGCCTCGTCCAATGGCGATGGCTGGACCATATCTTGAAAAGGCTCTAACAGACTATCCCAGGATCATCGTTGGTGTTAAATACTGCTTCCGTTATAACGCTCGAAATCGACAAATGCAAATGAATGAAGATGGCGAACCTATCACCCTTGAAAACATGCCTCGACCTCATCGAAGACGCCGCGAGAAGAAGTTGATGACTATGGACGAAGTCAACGACAAGTTCCCGATGATGAAGTACAAAACATGGGTTTCCGATCGCGCAAAGGAGGGTCTTCCCACAACTGGTGGCGTTTCTGCACCTCCTACTCGACCTAACAGCATTCGAGAGGCGGATGGAATTGTGCCAGACTTTTCAGCAAAGGTACGCGATTCGACCGACGAGCAACCGGCGACCACCGCGCCAAAGACGAATGGACTGGGAGAGACAACGGGAGCAAGCAACGCCCCCGAAATATCGGCACCCGAAATTACTGCCACAGCTGTTGTGCCCGAGACTGAGAAGCCAAAGGATACACCCAAGACAACTGAAGGCCAAACCTCAACCGAACAAACAGCAAACAACAACCGACTTCAGCGAATCTCTAGTGAGGAGACCGACGATGACGATGACCACATTGATGGCGCTCTGCCACCCGAGTGCCTCGAAAACCCTGGTGATACATGTGCTATTTGCATTGACACACTAGAAGACGATGACGACGTTCGCGGATTGACTTGTGGCCATGCTTTCCATGCCGTCTGTGTTGACCCTTGGCTGACAAGCCGACGAGCTTGCTGCCCGCTTTGCAAGGCCGACTACTATGTTCCCAAGCCAAGGCCGGCTCCCGATGCTGCCAACGAAGCGGGTGCCAACAATGGTTCAAGCTTTGATCCGCGGAATAACCCACGCTTTGGTCTCCCTGCCGCGATCCGCTCTGCATGGATCAGGGGTCCCCGCAGTGGCCGCAACGGAACTCCAGCCCCCGCCAGTCGACGTCGGACGGGAGACGCTGTAGCTGAGCTGGAGCCTGTTCAACAGCCAGAACAGGCTCACCAAGCACCAGAAGTTACCCAAACATCAAACGGTAGTGTCTTGTCATCTGTTCGAGGTGCTCTACGTTTCGGCCGGAGGCGACAAGCACAAGATAACCAAAATGGTTCTGAGACTGTAACACCATCACAACTCGAAGCGGCAAATCGCACACCAGCTTCCACGTAATGATGTGAACCTGACCTTTATTCTTATATAAAGTATGCGACTGTTTTTTTTTAGCGATGGTTTTCTCTCATTTTTCCCAGCATGAAGTGCTGGGCACAACCGTCACGAATCTCGAAATCATAAAGGAATTGACTTGGACGACACAGCATTTATTTTATACCGCATGACATATACGTGGGGCGACAGCAGGTCGGTCAGGTGTGTATTCGGGTGATGGTGAGGACGGACGTATAGGCTCGGCGAGCTATATATACCCCTGAGGCGGCGTGCATGGTAGTATCATGCTTCGCAGGCCATGAAGGCAATGATGGCGTAGGTAGCGCGAAGGGAGGAATTACCAATACTCTTTGGGGATTGTCTATCTGTAAGACAGCTATTGTATTTGCATTGGGCTAGAAAACAACGCTTTTAGCTGGACGGGAACGGAGCGGCGGAGTTCATGGGTTCTGGGTCTTTGATAGTTAGATGGCGCAATAGAATATTTGTTCCATCTGCATATACACTCTGCTCCTGACGAGCTACCTAGTGATAGTGAATGATAGAGATAAAGGCTCAGCCATAGGTGATTTGTACTATCGAAATATCGTCACTGATGGGTGAAAACGGCTGGCTGTTTCTCATCTTACAAAAGCTTTGAAGCTATTTGTAGATTTGAATTGTTCAATTATCTATAGTACTATTGGTAGAAAGTTGGTCAAAGAACTACGCTTTATGAGTTTCATTTGGATAGAAAAAAGTACTGATCCAGTTTCTTGTCTTCGAATCCCAGAGATCTATCGTCCATATGCTAGAGGAAAGATCCCTTTGAAAACCTGCCACCAAAATCAGCAGCTTTGTTCATCAGCTCTCTCCTTTGCGCGGTGCCAATCTTTCCACCCAGAGCCATATCCTTTTCTCGGTCAAATCCCCGCTTACTAGGATCATCCTCCTCCTCCTCCTCCTTTTTACCTTCCTTTTCTCTTCGCCCCTGATGCTCTGCGTATAGACTTTTACCTCGTTGCGATTCAATATTTGCTGCAATTTTGCGATTCCGTTCTTCCTCTTCCCGAGACTTCCCTGGCTTCGGTGTTGTGTCTGTGTTCTTGTCGGCGCGTCCTAGTACCGAGTCTTGTAGTCTCTTCAGCTTCTCTTCAGGGGTTTCAGTCCACATTGTCGATACAGTCGAGGGACCAGAAGACGACGCTGGCTTGGAAGCGAATTTACGATTGCGCATCTTGGTTGGGTCGCGCTCTGAGTAGCCTGATACCGTGGGAGGCGCAAGCATCCACGAGTCGCGCTGGGGTGCTGGTTCAGCGGATGGAAGCTGAGGTCCTATCGTGGGTTTGTTCGCTTTGGCTGAGCCCGGCAGTGCAGGGCCGTAGTCATCTTCGGAGTCTGAATCTGAGTCGGGAGATGTTGCTGGGCGTTGCGAAATGTCGGCGGGAGGCGGCGCAGGCCTAACCGTGGGCTTTGGTGGTGCTGGGCCAATATCAGATTCGGAATCGGACTCGAGTTCTATCTCATCCTTGTTCGATGTCGGCAAAGCTGGGCCGACGGGTGCTTTGAGCGGTAAAGGTGCACTGGGACCGTAATCATCGTCCGAGTCTTCTAGTTCAATCTCATCTGTATTCTTTGCTGGAGATTCGCTGCGACGATGTTTGCTGGAGTTTGAGTCTTCATCATCAGGTGTACGCTTCCGTTTCGACAGGTGCGGCGGCAATTGAGGCCCAATCGAAGACATTTCGAGTATGATTTGCGAATGACGTTCGGTTCCAGTGTTTCACTATGTTTATTGCGAGGGGTGTAGCATTTGGTTAAAGCTTCGATTCAAGGTGGAACTTCTTGTCGCGAATGCGACGTCCCATCGGCAACAGACGTCACAGCGCAGTCCGGAGAATCCAACGGCCCGCACCTGGACCTGGAGTGGGCTGGGGCTTGGCATGTGCATTCGCTGCGCCGCTGCCAACCTCCAAAAGATGGGGCTGCGTAACTAACGAACTACTGACCTACCTACCAACCTACGTAGCTCACCATAGCTTCGTTTGCGCAATCCATACCTTTTTAATTCGCGTCTTTTGCAACGCGGATCGATCCGTAAAGAGCCAAGCAATCGAAGGCGCTCGAAAGTCTAATCATACCAGAAAAGGCAACTCTTCCACGTTTTTCCGTTGCCCCTCCGACCTGGTTCATCTTATACCTTGACCGAGCTCCATAAACAGTGTTGCCTTATCGCCAATCTGCAGCTTTTACTCCCGCAGTGCCATGATCTCAACGCGGTAGTGCTTGCGCATGCAGTGATGGAATCCAGAGTGCAATGGCCGATTCAGAAGATTTGTCGCTCGCGGGAGACGTGGGCTTGGACAATGGCGACACTATAAATAATGCGCCCACGATAGCTGGTACTGATGTGGATGCTGGTGCTGATGGTGTTAATGATGGTTTACTCGAGGATAGTGACGGGCCCGACCGTCATCTTACACCAGTTCCTATAGGAAACGGATCCGTTACGAATAGATATCGCGAGATCATGCAGCAGCAACATCAGGATAGTTCAGACGTGAGCTCCTTGGGTGGAAGCTCTTTGCATGGTCTACCAAAGCGTGTTGGTAGCCCGATAGATTCGGTCTTGTCGGGACCTGACGATACACCATCTATTCAAGTAGGAGCACCAATTCTAGGATCTCGAGCCCTATTCTAACCTCCCACAGGGATCATTTGTCTCCTCTCCTGGAAGCAGCGTTCTCCCGTCTGTAGCCTCCCGTCCCGGCCTGAGCAGTCCCTCACCATCTTTCCGACCTTTCGATCGCCGATTTCAGTCGCGAATTTCCTCCTCGGCAATTAATACACCTCGCTCGTCGTCTCCGGCATTTCCTTTTCTTTCCAGCCATAGCCGTAACGTCTCCTTAAGCTCGCAATTCCTCCTCGACCAGGCCGATCTAGAGACACCAACGCCGCCGTGGGAGGTGGTTCGTTGGACAAAGCTACGGAAGCTCAATGGCCATGCATTCTCTGAGGCAGGGAAACGCAACTTTGGTTCCCCAACTTGTCTTGCTGTATCAGCAACGATAGTACTTGGAACGTCGAAGGGTATCATATTAGTGTTCGATTATAACCAAAATCTCAAAATGATTATTGGTCCAGGGACAAAAGGTAGGTTACAATCCGCTCGTTGCGCTACATGAAACTGACATGGTTCAGCTGTCGAATCTGGGCCAATCACTGCTATAGCGATATCCGCAGATCATACTACAATCGCAGGAGGACATGCGAGTGGAAACATCTTTACCTGGGATACAGGCCGTGCCTCGAGGCCTTTCCTAACAATACCACATTTGGAACCATCGCAGCTTCAAAATCGCACGGTAGATGGACATGTTCCTGACGTTGCTATCACTCACCTCGGGTTCTTGGGAACACGCCATACAGCCCTTGTTTCAGCTGATAATAAGGGCATGGCTTTCTCGCATCTGGCGACTAGAGGAACCGGTGCACTTGGGCGAACCGTGAAAACTCATCGGATTCTTGGTCGATATCCGGATGCGCCAATGCCTCCAGGGAAGACGGTCAAGCCTAGCACCGTCCTTGCCTTCGCACCTCTACCCCTTGGCAATGTTGAGTGTTCAACAGACACCCTAGGCTTGACAGCCATGCTGACACCATATCTTCTTGTTATTGTGTCAACTACACCAGTAGCACAGACTCAACACAAGTCGGCGCGGCCTAAGGATGTTCCCCCTCATAGCGCGATGACAGGCTGTTTGGCATGGTTCCCAGCAGTGAAACTGAAGGTTCCTGACCCTCAAACTGGCAGCGATATTTCGAAGGTGAAGCTTGCGTACTGCTGGTCCAATATCTTGACAGTGCTGGATGTAGACGAGTATCCCCGTGAAGATAAGGACCAGCCTGCGTCGTACAGATTCAAGGCACGAAGCAGGTGGAAGTGCGAAGAAGCGATTGTTGCTGTGCAATGGCTCAGCCGTTCAGTACTAGCGGTGCTTACGATCTCTCAAAGAATGATCGTACTTGAAGACAGGAGCATGCGCATGACAGAGGGCTTCGATCTTGTGCAAAAGTACATATACCACGCAGACCTGTTCTCAGAGCAGCTGCACACTCTTGTGGAACAGCTTGATGAAAACGATTCCTCGATGCATGGCGTCGTAGCTGATGCTTTCTACATGAGCTTCAAAGCGTACAAGGGGAGGATATTTATCCTTGGCTTCAATGAAGTTTCAATTGGCGCATTGTCAAATTGGGCCGACAGACTTATTGCTATGATGGAAAATGGCGACTACCTAGGCGCTATTCAGCTTGCCACTTCTTACTATACTGGCGACGCAGACAAGCTCACCGTTGGATTGCCAGAAGATCCTTCATTGCGTCACACCATGGTTCGTGACAAGATTATGGAGATCATCAGTGCCTCTTTGAAGTATGCTTTTGGTCAGCGTCAGAAGGATCCTGAGAGTTACGACGATGAGCACATGAAGCAATTAGCAGAGACCTGTTTCACAGCTTGTCAAGCCGTCGACAACCAGGACTTCCTCTTCGAGGACATGTATGACTGGTACGAAGATGCTGATATTGGAGGCATATTTCTCGAGTGTCTCGAACCATACATCCTCGAGAAGACCATCACGATGGTGCCTCCAACTGTTGTGAAAGATTTGGTCCAGCACTACGTCAGTCGAGGGTGGGAGAGTAGACTTGAGGAAATGATCTGCCACATGGAGACAGTGACACTGGACCTTGACCAGATAACATTACTGTGTAAGCAACACAGCTTATACGATGCTCTGATCTACGTCTGGAATCAGGCACTTGGTGACTATATCACTCCGATGATTGATCTTCTGTCTCTATTGATACCCCTCATGGTTGACGGGGACTTCACGGCAAACAATCCAGCAGATGATTTCTTCAGCATCAACGCCTTCAAGATTTTCCCATATTTGTCTTATACACTGACTGGCAGGGTGTATCCAAACGATGAAGCGATGAGTGAAGAGATGGCAACCAAAGCTAAATCTGAGATTTACTGGTTTTTCTTTTCCGGGAGAACTATTACCTGGCCAAAAGGCAGTGGGAACGAGTTCCGTACCATCCCCAACTCTGAGTCGCAGCCATCGTTTCCCTACCTTCGTATGATTCTCAAACTGGATGCCCCTAGCTTTCTGAGCGCGTTGAACGAGGCATTCGAGGACCCTTTCCTGAATGACTCCACCGATCAGCACATGAACGGCTCTAGGGGAGACATGCCAGAAGAACAGATCTTTGGACAAACCATAAACCGGCAATATGTTCTCTCTATCTTGCTGGATGTCATGAATCCAAACGACTTTGCCCCTGAGGATACCATCTACCTCGACATGTTTATTGCGCGGAACCTTCCAAAGTTCCCACAATACCTTCTCTTTTCAGGCACAACACTCTCGCGCGTCTTGACTGGTCTGTGCAATTATCCAGGCCTCGACCTAGCTGAGGATGCACAGCTCAGCGCTGAATATTTACTCTCTGTTTATCATCCGTCAGACATGCCTGACTTGATGCCATTGTTCAAGAAGGCAGGATTCTATCGTATCCTGAAACGCATATACAAGACAGATAAACAGTATGGCAATCTGGTCCAGACGTATTTTGAGGACCCGGAAGACCAAGAGTTGGTTTTCGACTGCCTCCGCGAATGCCTGCGACCTCACTCAGGACTGACTGAACGTCAGATTCAGGAAGTTCTCAGTGTTGTTAAAGAACATGCACGAAGATTACTTGAACTTGATGCCGCATTAACTGCGAAGACTCTAGCAGAGCAGGGCTTGGAGCTACATCAGCACATGATCGACTCTACCGAGGATGCAGCAGACCTACAGCACACATATCTCAAGACATTGCTGGAGCCGGGGGAGCCAACAGCAGATCACAAGTTGGTGGCCGCTCGTGACTTGGTCGAACGTTATGTGCAGCTCATGTGTAAATTTGAGCCGTCTCATGTATCTGATTACGTTGGTCTTGTGCAGTCAACTGACTTGAGGCTCGAAAAGCTGCTGCCGACGATGGAGGAGACTGGTGTGATTGATGCGGCCGTTGTGTTGATGGCTCGGGAAGGCCAAGTCAAGGACGCTATGGAACGACTTGTCAAGCATCTCAAGACCTTGGAGTCCGCAATGCATGGACTGTTGACAGGTGCTGAAGAACAGCATTCAGGACCAAGTCTTGGGTACGCCGCTGAGGATCTTCTCGAAGCTCTTCAGAAATATGTTCATGTTGGCATATGGTTATGCCAAGGCCAGACCAAATCATCGACTAAGAAGTCGAAATTGGTACAAAAGACTCCAAAATCGGCAACTGAGGCGCTGTCATCGGACGAGGCTTTATGGTTGAGTCTGATCGATGCGTGTGTGCAAATCACCAAGAAATTGTCACCTGCTCTCAGCGCTGCTGCTGAGCAGAACACGAGTGACGACGAGTTTGATGAGGAGAAACTCGTGGCTCTTCTTCGCTCGCTGGTTCAGCACACGTTTACGGCGCTGCTTACAACGACATCCAGCCAGACGACATCTCTGTCGGGGTCGAAGCTGGTGTCAAATGCCAGCTCCAACCTGTCTTTTCTGCGCATTCTCAGGGCGTTCTTGACACAAGCGGCTGCGTCATCTCCAAACTTGGCAGATCTTCGAGGAGTACTGGCGTCCATCTTCTCAGCGTATGCGTATGAAGAGTCAATCCTCAAGCTATCGAATCGCCTGTTGGAGCGCAGCCTATTTGTCAACGTCAATCAATCAGTTGAGCTTCGTCAAAGAGGATGGCGACCAAGAGGATCAACGTGTGAGGCATGCAGCCGAAGAGTCTGGGGACCTGGAGTCGCTGGAACAGCAGTGTTTGAGGCGTGGGAGGATAAACAGGCTATTGAGGAAAAGAGAAGGAAAGAAAGGCAGGCCAACGCAGCGGAGCGCGCCAAGGGTGATGATGGCGAAACGGAACTCAAGGCTAAGGGTAAGGGAGTCGACACGAGGCCGTCGAGCATGCTCATCGAGACCAACGCCAACAGCAGCGTGGGCAGTAATAAGGACAAGCCTATGGGGCCTTTGGTAGTATTGGCATGCCGGCACATATATCACCAGAGCTGCCTGGATGAGTTGCAGGAAAGGCAGCAGAATGGAGTGGTAGGTGTTGTTGAGAGAGAGTATAGATGCCCTATTGATGGGTGAGAGTTGAAGTATTCTTCAAGAGAGGGCTCTTTTGTACAAAGTGTATGACATAGTTAGATATTAAAGATGTTGATTAATGATGATGACTCTTGGGATATAGGTAGCTTAATCAGAGTGAGGGTAGCGGAGAGGAGAGGAGAGGAGAGTGGTCAAGGTCGACCTAGTGGCAGCTATGGGCACATGGATGTTTGGGGTTAGCCTTATGACATAGTGGATGTAATTAAAGATAATCAAGAAGTAATCCAGGTCATAAACTATTTCCTGTTATTGTACTTTTCAGTTCTACAGTTCAATCGCTTCATGATTTTTAAGGTCGTGCGGATAGACTACCTAAAGCTTTCCGGAAGCTTGAACGTGCTAGACGAGGCACTAGAACAGCCCCGTTGTAGCGGGTACCTGGCCTAAACTCAACCAAGTGCCCTGAACCTCGACTTGACACTTCAAAACTACACTCTTGATACAGAAACAGACAAATCACAATCACCATGTCACTCAGTTCAGATGACGAGGATGATATCCTCTCAGACGCCCAATCAGCCAGTTCTTCCGGAGAAGACGAAGATTCTCCCCCACGGCAATTGTCGCAGAATCTGTTTGCGCCTCCGTTTTATGGGCGACCTCCAACGCCTTTGCCCCCTTCACCGTCACTCACATCTCTTCTACGCCCTTCACGGCCAACAACACCAGACGCATCTGATGACGATGCAATCGCGCCTGTGCCTAGAGCCGCGCCAAAGGTGCCGACGTACGAATACTACGGCTTTGTGCTGTATCTCTTCAGCAGTCTGACATTCCTCATCTACCTCCTCTGGGGCTATCTCCCTTCACCATTTCTGCACGCCCTGGGGATAAACTACTATCCCAACCGGTGGTGGGCGCTCGCCATACCGGCTTTCATCGTCATGACAGTAGTGTACATCTACGTAGCTCTCGCTGCGTTTAATACAGAGATGTTGACAGTGCCACTATCGAGTGTTGAGACTGTCGTTGATGGGGCGGGTAAGTTGGCGGAGATTGATGCGAAGGGAAGATTGAGGGGGAGTCGCAATAGGGAGAGAAGGGTGCATGGAGATGGGCGATTGAGATGGAGGGAGATTTGGAGTGAGGGAACGGATGCGGTGATGGATATTCCGCTGGCGGGCGTTTGCGAGGTCTTGTATGGAGAGGGAAGAGAGGATGGTGAAGATGTGTATGTAGATGATGAGATGTGACAGCAGTTTCTGTCTATTCGAAATATTCTTAGAATAATGACCTCCATGTTCTGGTTGTAAATGTCTTGAACGTCCAACTACTATTCTCATCATATCCCAGATCAAACAATAGTATAACAGCAAAAATGAATACCAAGAGTGGTAACGACACACTAAAAAAGACCCCAAAGTTCTTCTCGCCAGGCAAATACCGCTCAGACATACTAAACAGACTCGTAGAGAATGACAAGGGAATAAAAATGAGCGCGACAATAGTAAACGTCTTGATAGTCTTGGCTTCGCGAATCGACCTGGCAGCTCCATTGATACCCGTAACTCCAGTGAGCGACTCGCTTAGAAACTCTGCTCTTTGTCTGAGAGACTGCAATCTCATATAAATGTATTGAAAATCTGACTCGGATTCTGTCCACTGTGTGTAATCGGTTGGGACTACGGGATCGTCAAATTTTATGTGCAACTGTAGCATTATTTGTGAAACATCTTTGATATATCTGCTGAGTCGGCTGCATAAAAGTTGGATATTGCTCCACGATGCCTCGAGAGATGTTGTCTGAACAGATGCAAAATTGTCTTTTCGCTGCAGAGGAAATGCCATTGTCGATAGAAGCGCGTCGTGGTATTCGATCAAAAGCATGTAATGAGACGCTATGATCTTCCTCATGAAAACAGTCATGTCTAGCTGAGCTGCTTGCCTGGCAGATATGTCATTGTAGCATTCAGTGTAGTAGTGAAGCAGGTCGTCATATAGACATTCCCGCGAAGGCCCTGATGTTCTGCTCCGTACAGTCCAGGGACTGGGGATAAAATCTGCATATCCTCCTTGGAACGGAGGTGCAGAAAATTCTATAGTCTTGAGTGACCACGTCTCGGATTTTGGCTGTGGTTTTTGCCATATATGAGCTTTTCGAAAGGGTGGATCGCAGAGGATTAAAACTACAGAATATCAATTTGACTATTCTCGGGCTATAATAATAGACAGTAACTCACTACTCCAATCGTTTTCATTAGAAAATGTCATTTTCCAGAATGAACATTTTCTGTGAAGGATAACTGTAGGCTCCCAATCCTTGCCGAGCTTCGTCCTCAAGGCGTCTCTTCCAGATTCTGCACATCCTACACTGAAGGACCCGAACTCTTCGCGAAGAGCTCGAATGTCGTAGTAGCTTGCAGTAAATGATCGATTTCCGTCAATGAGTGAGGGTAAGCACGGTGCTAGATTGGGCTCATACGGCCATCGCAGATATGTCGACGTTCTCTCATGGGTGACAAAGAACATAGGGTCGATCTGAAGTTCGTCACCTAAAAGTGCTATAACTTCTGTGTTTAAGCCTTCGACAAGATAGATCATCTGATGACTTTGGCCATCTTGACGCAACTTTCGCAGTTGAGAGAAATGATTCCTCAGTTGTGCAACATGAGGGAATTCCGCAGGCGACAGCATTTTGCCTTGACTATCCAACCCAAGAACTGTCGCTCGAACATGCTGTCTGTCGCACAGCATAACAGCACGATTGCGTCCATCGGGTAACTCAAGGTTGGGCTGTCGAGAACAGCTCTGCTTGATGTAAGTGAGATATGGTCCATCGGCAGATAACCAGCTGCCATTGTCATCTTTTGTTCGGGGCGTGGAACGAGCTTCGGGTGCTTCGACTATGGGAAATTTTATAGACATCTTGTACACACTGTGTCCGTCTGTGTAATAAATGAGCACTTCTCCAGGCTGGAATAATGAGTCGGTATATTTACCTGCAGCTGAATGGATGTGCAGTATGACTAAGGACTGTAAGCTGAAGGTGAAGAGAGCTCTGACTGGCTACTACAAATGATGACCGAGTCTTGAAATGACTAGGACTTGCTTGCATTGGCTTATGGTAGTTAAGAATTGGAGCATATGTAGTGGATGTCTTCCTATGTGCTCTGGTGCTCCTCAATTGGCCGGCTGTCTACCCTGGAGATACTACCTGAAAATGGCATGTCAAAGTCTTGAGATCTTGACTGATGTAAGTGAGTCCATCTTACCAATTGGTGTGATGATTGATATCGTCTTGAGGGAGTTTAGTACTAATCATTTGACTTGTTTCGAGGAAAGGAGTGTGCGCACAATAGGTAGTAGTTAACATTGGGAACATTTTTGCAACATTTCTGTCCCAGCCAAAGAAGGGATTTGTGCAATGAAGGTTTTGCATATGTCGATCTCCTTTCATAACTATTATGCACACGATGCAAGTCACTCACTAACACGCAAGAATGAATGGGCGGCCAGAGCGACCATCCGTGCTATTCTTACTGTGGCATGTTATTTCTGGATGGCTGAGGATACAGCAGTACAGCTGCTTTTGTACAGGGATTAACTTGATGTTGCGTTTACTCTGAGGCACCGTTTCACTCGAGGTACCGTCTGGTAGTGGTTCGCGCCCCGGAGCTGCAGCCTCTGGTCCAAGAACTTGGGAGCATCTCTTGTTTCATGACCAGGACGAAGGAGATGAATCATTTGGCACGGGCCAGATAAGATCTACATCTGCATGTGCAATGTTAAGGAGGCAGGAGATACAAGTCCGGATAGCATCTTGTTGCTATGGAGGGTTGCTGGGAAACCTTTGATCCAAGAGATTGGACGAAGCGTTACAATGCTAGGTATCTTGTCTTCAGGAACAAGGAGCCAGATCATGCACGGCAGAGTCTTGAACCTAGAGTCCGGCGATTTCCCTTTGGAGATCCCGTTGCCTTGCTGTCGGTACTCAATGCTCACAATAGCGATGCAACATGCCAGAGTCTACCCCATGTTTAAACTACCATTGCGGAGTTCGCTAGGAAGCAACCTATTCTCCTTATCTCTTGAACCTTTTTGCAATTATCTAAAATTAGATATATAGCCCTATGAGCTGGAGAATCTGGAGATTCACGCTGTGGAGATTCACGCTGCCTTGTTGGAACAGATGACGACAAGGGAGACAGGCTGATGTTATCTTTCACAATGATCCGACTTGAAGAGTTTTCTCAAGCTAAGATTAAGGATACGATAAAGTGTGAGTGGACAGTCGCGATCTGTGACTGCCAGGATAAAGCGTGCCGAACCATCTTGCGTGTCGATGTCAACTCTTGTCCTCGCCCTGACACGTCAACGGGGAAAAAGCAAAACAAACCCGTCAAGCAGATTTTGTGAGACAAAAGACGGTGAGTTGATCATGGTGCCCGCAAGAGTGACAGCTGTCAAGGCGTCAAGGAGTCAAGGAGCCAAGATTAGTACCATTCTCACCTCGTTTGGGACGAGCTGAAACATTTCCAGAGATAGCAATTAAACCCAGCAAGCTTCTAGAGTCTTCTCATTGAAATTAGTATCCTAAGCAATTTAGCATACTAAAACTCCTAGCAGCCCCCCTGTCAGGCCTATATAGAGGCCACAGGTGTGGTAATGGGACCAATAGTATGGCTCTAGTTAGGAGGAGAAAAGAGCAAAGATGCTTTGGAAGAGTACGCTCAGCCTGTTATGGTGGAGTGGAGTTTCTACATTTTTATTGAATACCCCTGTTGCTGCGGTTTGTGAATATGCATGTTGGCTGTTGGTTCTGTGAACAAGGCGACAGTCTGGTTGGACAGAACAAGTAACGGAATGTACACTCGATTTTTCTGCTCACTGTGCAAGAGATAAAATGGATTGTAATTGAATGGGTAAAACAGTTTGAACACTGCGAGTAGTTTGAGGTGGTGATTGAGAAGCTGACCTTTCAATACAATGGCATTGAGAACGGGTTAATCGAGCGACTGACACTCTGAGAAATTGAGCCACACAACGGGTACCAACCTAATACCTGTGAGCCAGGGGAAAGCAATTGAGGTCTTGTTGAAACTGAAGGCAAATTTATCGCGAATCTGCCTCGTTACGGCCCCCGAGATGGTTCGCGGATCCCCCCTATCCTTCCGCGGTCTACGGATGCTTGCGCCAGAGTTCAAGTGCATGTTCATAAGAAATCTCACCTGGTTTCAACTCGGACCAAAAGCTTAGCACTCACCTCAGATGAATTGGTAGTTTACTGAGTGCTCAAGTGTGATCCTGTCCCTAATAAGGCAATCTCTCAATCGGCGGTCGATCAGGCAAGATTCGTCCCCAACCTGAAAAGCGACCTACCTACACATAAAAAGGATGCACACGTTTGCCTCAAAGATATATATCTCTGTTGCCAACACTATGGAACCAGTCGAAGGCCAGGGAAGCCCCCCCAAAGTCCTTGACAGACTCTTCAAAACTACAAAAACTTCCACTATCCCCCATCTCACAGAACTTCGCAAGGCCCTTGGCTACGGCAACCCAGGCCAAGAACAGGACATCGCCTTTAAAAGGGCCATCAGAGCCCAGATCGAGTCCTTCGTATCTCCTAGCACCAAACTACCTGCATATAAACTCACCAAGTGGAGGTTGCCTCTTCACCAGAGAGGACTCCAAGAGGTCACCAAAGACTTTCTCGATACCAAGGGAAGGGGGCCTGAGTTCTGGCCTGCGAGGCATAACTCTGTCAACACAAGGTGTCTTGAATATTCTAAAGACTCTTCTCGGTGAGTGTTCAGACCCAGACGGACTAAACATACAGTATTCCCTAGGTAGACATGAGCTATTGCTGACTCAAACAGGATACGTCGTCTCATGATCAAAGTCTTTTGGCGTGCAGCCCGAGAGTACAAGCGAAACAAACCCTCAAACTCTACCACCACCAAGCTACCATCACAGCCTAGCGATAGAGACACTTCACCATTAAAGCCCCCGGACACGCCGAGTGACGACAAACACCAAGTCCTCAATAACTCGCATATTATCAAAGGCCAGAGTATCGACAACCCTATAGATGTTGAGAGCATGCAGTCCAGGACCAACACATCAGGGCTGTCCACGTAAGAACATCTCCACCGCCTCAGAAGTATGGCTTTCTGACATGGTCCCAAGAGACGATCCCTTTGCAGGCCAGGGAGTGATTTTCAATTTTATTCTTGCACAACAACGACGAGATACGCCAGAGGAAAGCTCGAGTTCTGAACCCTTTTCGTCTTCTCAATTAGTCCCTGACACAGAGGGAAACATGATGCCTATTCCCGAAGAAGCAGAGAGCGCGTCCAGGACAGACCTGTACGAAGTGCCTCCAAGCCCTCCAGGGGCCACTGAAACTGTTAGTGTCTTCTATCAAGTTCATCTTATTGAGACTAAATCTTTTCATAGGCACATATTAATGGCAAGCGCCCGGTCGAGCCAGACTCCAATGATATCAGCCGCCAGGCCAAAGTACCTAGACAAGACCCGAGCACGTCTGCGAAACCGACACGTCAGCCTCCAAAGAGCACTCGAGGTGGCAGAAAGACACAGAGCCTCCCTCCCAGAGTCCGAAGCTCTCAGCGGAAGAGCAAGCCAGTCTATCGCCAGGGGGCTGCTACAGAAGAACAGATTCAAGCTTTGGAGGACCCAACCCCAACTCCGTCACCTCCCCCAGCTGTAGTTGGACCTCAGGGCAGAAGAAATGCGAGCCAAAGCAAACAGCCCTCAGCCACCACTAATGATTCCACCCCAAGAACTTCAGCCGTGGATACACAAGGCCAGTCTCCAACCGAAGCTATCAGAGCAGAGGTAGCTCGCCAGGCTGAAAGGCAGACTACAGAGGCAGCCATAGCAGCGGGTGCAGACCAAGAACTAGATGCCCGCGGTACGTCTATCACTGGCCTCTCCGCCAAAGCTCAGGGAAAGCTACCTGAGGTGCCGGTCAGGCAGACCCCAACGGTTCAAGCTGGACCAAGTCGGGAGCGGGAGGCGGAGTCTACAGTGAGACCAGAGGGCAGTGCTATGAGCCAACAAAGCAGCCGCCCTGGCAACCTGGAGCCTCAAGACACACAGCGACAAGGACCGAATGGACGCGAAATAGCCATAGTCATCAGATCCGACATTGCTAATGGCGTTGACTTCATGTCTTGGAAGCCGTCATCTTTCTTATTCCACATGTCTCTTGCGGCTGTGGCTAGTGAGTTGGGCTTGAGGCACGGCCGAACCCTTCACATGTCTCTCAGAGGCCGAACGTCCAACTTGTGTGAAAAATTCGAGGCCGGCGACGAAGACGGATTTGAGTCTTTCAAAGATGAGTGCCTGGGAGTTATTATGCAGCGACATTCTGGTGCTGGATCTACTCCAGTGTTGCAGAGACAACAGTTCAGGATTTACTTTTCTGATAAGCCCATTTCTATCTGAAGGGGACTGTACAGTTTCGTTAGTATGGATGGGTACAAATTCGGTTTCTTCTTTCTTTGTGTTTGTATTATTGTATTGTATTGTATTGTATTGTGGTTTTATTCTTGGGAAATTGGCGGATCAACGACTTTTAATGGTTATACGGGTATGAATGTGTCAACAGGGTTTTGTTCTGTGGGTTTTGTCTTATCATGTACCAGACTTTTGTAATAACAGATTTGTACAGAGTATATAGCACCTTTAGTTTAGAGCAGTCGATAGGTAGAGAACTCTAGAGTTTGGACCTAGAGACCTGGGAAGGAATGTGATCGTATCCATGTGTGTGCAAGGTTGAGCACGCGTTTCTCGGACTATGGGGAACAGCCACCAAGATCAACACGAGGCAGTCTTGCTTTTGGCGTGTCAGTTATCCGCTCGAGTGTCGGTAAAGTGTTTGATACTGTGGAAATGGTAACGAACAGTGCAACGGGTGGTTACGCAATGCAAGTAGCCGTGGTTTCACAGGGGTAGATGGCCCCTTGAGAAACAGAAAACAGGGAAATAGCTTCGGATTTGCTTTTTGTTGTGGGAGAGAAGAGAAAACTACCTATGGAAGGAAAATTTGTGGCTGCAGAGCAAGAGAAGGACAGACAGTGGGCAAGGCTGCTGTAGTATCTATCGTTACAGTAAACAATGGATTACATAATATTACACAATGCAATGTCTATGCACGATACCTAGGTATGCAACAATGGATTGATTTCTTACAGTCAGATTAAAAGTCTGATTCAATACGACATCAATTCCCTAACAAGAAATCGGGAAACTCTCATTTATTACATCCGCCCGTCGCCTGATCCGCGCGCGACACCATCAGACGTAAATAAGCGAGACATCAGCCCAACAACCAGCATCACAGCGTGCATGGCTAGTGTACTCTTTTGCTGCAGTTGTAGGTTTATATGTAAACATGCAAGACTTGGCCCCGGCATTACAGCAATGGTCCGCTGATCTAACTGGTCGGTGGCCGTAATGTGTGGAAAGTTACCATGCCTCCACTGTAATGTTCCCTGAAGACCCGAGCCCCCCCATGCTCCTTTTCTCTGAGGCTCTGACAGGGGTGTCGGAATCTGGGGCGCGTTGCAGAACCATCCAATCTAACTAAATAGCCCCCCCGTTCTACCGCCGTCCCATTCTTTCATTAATCCGTTCTGCATATCCCTGAGTTGAATTGTCCTCTACGTACGTACGTACGTACGTACATCACGTCCTGATCATGACCTCAAGGAAGAAAGGTACCGCGCGTCGGACCGGGCCATTTTATTTTTCCTCTCGCACGAGGACTACCAAGGACGTGCCTCCGATCAGGAAACTGCTCAGCGAGCTTGGGTTTGGCGATGATGCTGATAAGAAGCTACTCAATGAGTTCAACACTGCTCGTAAATTTCACATGAACCGCTTCTTAGACGAAAAGATCATCGACGACAAAGATATATTGGAGTGGTCCTCCGAGCCTTGTAAGCAAAAGATTCGCAGGCTGGCGAAAGATTTCCTTGTCAGACAGAATCATGGTCCTCGCTTCTGGCCCGAGGAGGTTTCTCCTGCAAACACCAAGAAATACCGTTATCCACAGGATACCCAACAGTCAGTCTAATCTCCTCTTGTTGTTTCCGACGCGTCTTGGATGGACGAGTAACTGACAGTCGGCTTGTACCTGTCCTGTATAGGCTCATCAAAACATTGACCATGCTGTTTTTTCGACAGCTATACAACAGAAGATCACACTATATAAAGGTTCGCAAAGAAAAGAGGCGTACCAATCTCTTCGAGCGAGGTGATGCGCCTGACGAGCCTATCGCCCTTGATCTGTCCAGCGATGAGTCTGATTACGAATACCAAGTATTTGATGTCCCAGCATCGCCCATGTCTGGTGAATCGTACCCCAAGAGGTGAGCTATTGGTATCAACAAATGTGGTAGCTATATTTGCTGACATGGTGACTCTAGAGAGCCTGCTGATTCTCCCGACTTACCTTCAATCGAGGAGATAAGACGTACAGTACAGAGTCAGACTATGCCCTCAGCTCCTGTGACGTCACTACCTAGTGTCGTTCAGGATGAGAATGCGAATGAGAATGTGAATCCTGAGACATCTCATGAAGCCAGCCAACCCTCAAGAACAAGTGTAAGAATTCTCTTGATCAATGCGGACACCACTCAACTGACACTGAAAAGCCTGTGCGGGCAACAAAAAGGCCTGTATCGCAATCTGAGGCGTCGCCGTTGCGCACAAAAAGCCCGCGTCTCAACGGTTCCCGTGCACCCACAGCCAACCCGGTCTCTCAAGATGCCAATGTTCGGCTTGAATCAGTCGCCCGAGCAGTTTCCCCCAGACAAGACCTTAGGAGGTCGAGTCGAAAATCTGTTCCCGCGCCTGTTGCCTCCATGGGTGAAGGTTCAAGGACAAATGACACACAGGAGCTATCATCAGAGGCAGTGAGGAATACCACGGATGAGATCGTCTGCGGGTTCAAAACCGCGATACGATCAGTCCCGCCTACTGGAGAGGATAGCAGTACTCGCGTTTCTGAAAATGAAACAGAAACGACAGTTACAGACCAGCCTGTAAAGCTTGGATCTACGCCGCTCTCTCAGAAGGATACTACTGCCACGTCTGAACCAGATATTGAAGAGCTCAGCAGTAACTCCTATGATATAGCAGCGGCTAGGCGGTTACTGAGCTCGCATCTCCGCGGTCACACTACAAATACTCCCACCCCTCTACAATTCTCCTTTTCCTTTCACGATGGCAGTCACGGCGACCCGTTCAGCATTTCGGCGGTCGAATTCTTCACAATGACCCTCAGACAGTTTATGGACGTCCTGCCTATGAACGATAAGGAACTGATAATAGGGCTATGCATACGCCAATACGGGCCCAAGTTTTGTCTCCGGCAAGTGTATCTGTACAACGAGGATGTCTTTGGGAACATTCGTCAGCAGTTTCTCCGTTTTATTGAGAGCGATACACGGGATGTGAAAAATCACGGAAAGAGGCTGGACTACGAGATCAGTATTGAGCCACTTAGAGATTTCCCGTAAGAGATGGGTCGATGAATGAAGGGAACAAACTTACAAGTCACAAATCTCCGGCGTCAACTTTCAAAACTCATATATAACGACACGAGTCCCTGAGATATTAGCAACATGCTCCATGACATCATGACGCCGCATTGAAGATATCAGAGCTTGAAACGTTGGAGATATGGAACGGCAGACGAGGCTTAGCGGTGCTCTTGCAGTAACAGAGAAATGGAGATGATGCGTTGGCCATCATCAATCGCGTCTTTGGGAACATTTGAATTCGTTTTTGGAATTCCGTTGCCCGCCACACAGCCTGGATAAGATCGTGATACAGGCTCTTGGGTCGGTCAAGACGTGATTGGATCTTACACTGAAGTGAGCTACCAGCTGGAGATTTTGACCGAAGCCACTATTACTGCAAATCTTTCAACAGGATAGACGTGCTTCAGCGCATTCGCTGTCAACAAGAGCACGGAAATTATGGCATTCGGTGCTGGAACGATCATGGGCCTTAACACAGTCATGAGTTCAAATAATGTTATAGCTATTATGCTAGAGAATTGATACATTTGATGTAGTCATTTCATCAGTCTCCAGCTGTTTCAGTCTATCTCTTCGGGGCATTATGACAAGGTGCTCCGCCGTGGTAAGGGAACATATGAACTTAAACATAAGAAATAAAACGACTTGGATACTCGAAGCTTTCAATAAGTCTAAGGGGACCTTTTGGTTATATGCATGTATTCGTTATTATATGGCGCCCTGATTCGAGGTCTTAGATGTCTGCTCTTGCCCTCAACGGCTGCTCGACAATAGCAATGGCTTTGTCATGACCAGCTTGCATGGCCTTCTTTCCTTAACAAACTTCGAAGCTCTCCTCAAGGTGATAGTGGCACCTTCCACTTCCAGGGGACCAACTTGCCTTTGTGATTTTGCGATGCCTCGTAAGGTAAGTACACCTGGCCTATACCGAAGCTTCGCTAAGGTATTCATCCTTTCTGAGTCCCTACCCAGTCTTCGTCCTTACATTCATCAGAAGACAATATTTTCAACACAATCAGTCACTTACAGCAAGGCTACTTTCTTTAATCATCATCAAACACTCGTCAGAAGATACAGAGATTAAGCGCACATTCTTGAAACAACATCGCTAGGACAGGTTCAATCCGAGCACCACCGCAAAAACCATGGCAAGTTCTTCTGACTCAAACCGAACCTCCACTAAGAGAAGCAAATTCTGTCCATGTCCTTCCCCATTCTCGAAGAGATCCCCCAAGAGCATCCCTCTCCAACCGGAAGATATTTTGAGAATGTCTAATATAGTCAGAAGCCGTCACATTGACCCAACTGTATGCCCAGAGCATTGAGCAATTGTCATTCTGCTTCATTGAGTGCTAACATATCTTCTAGCAGTCAGAAAATAGTCCAAAGAACCTCAACGGATCTGGCAGCCACGATCAGTCATCGTCATTGCCTCGCGGTAGCACGGAAGAGGCGCCCAACATGGCGTTGGATAAAACAATCAACAAGGGCGATCCAGCGCCAGATGACGATGTATCTGCAAAGAGTGGCCATGCCCAAAGTCAAGATAATCCTATCTCCTCTTCGGTCGAGGCTTGGAACAGCAATGCTGAACCACCAAAGTTTTCGGTGCAATCAATATCGACTTCTCCAGTTGATCAGTCCAAATCGAAAAATCCTCCGATCACAGAGGATATGGGAATTCAAGATAGCCAATCAGGCGTCGGAAGAAGGCCTGATACACCGATACCAGAGGACTTACAACAAGAAGAACCTTTTTCTTATTACCTAAACGAAGAGGATTATGGCAGAGAAGAAGATTATGACCAAGAGCAATACTACGACCAAGAGCAAGATCACGATCAACAACAAGATCACGGCAAAGAACAAAAGCATGGCAAAAAACAAAAACCTAGCCATGATCCAACTGCAAGTGACCACTCATCCCCTGACTCTACTGCCACAGTACTTGCAACTGACCGCCTGGTCGCTATCGACTTCACTGTCTACCACACCGAATAGTACTCGAGTTATCAATGGTGTCCAGCACGAAGCTTCTTTAGATTGTCACTTGCAGATATCATAAACGAGATACGATTCGAGGAAGGTAGCGGCGTAACTATCTCCCTCGAGTGTACTATTGGGAAAGAAGATATGGTATATCGACGAAAAGCTCGTACTGAAGAGAGGTTTCATGTGGTACAGCAGAGGATCAAACATCTTATTGACACATTGAAAGAGAAAACTCCACCAAACAAGAAGGGAGATCCAACCTTCGAGATTATCATCGAAAGGCTTGGTCCAAGACGTTGGACTTCTTAGATTGATGTGTGATGTTCGGGAAATACTGGACTCTGGAGAGCTTGAGTTGGAGGCAGCTACCAGTATCTTAGTTGAAGCGTGGGTATTAATTGTTTTGACATGAAGGTATCAAGAAGTTTACATAGTGGACAATAAAGCGTTGTTTGTCACATGATAAAAGCCTTATTATTCACCTCATATTGCGTACAGATTTAGCTGAATGAATGACCAAAGATTTTACATAGATATTTGATGTGCAAGCAACCTGTAGTTAATATTTATGATGTAGCTCGTTTAGGCATGAATCATTAACCCATACTCCATTCATCATTTAACGCCTGTCCATTTCATGAAACCATCCATATCATCAAACCATTTAACCAGCAAACATACTAGTGAGCTCCCAGTCGCCACTAGCAAGTTGCCTCCAGGAGCTCGAACATGTAGCTTGAACGGTCTGCATGCCAAAGTTGCCATCTCCTTGGTCAAGTTGGCGGAAGAGGATGAGCTTGTAGCCAATTGCAGCAGCCATGAGACCAATCTCGACGGGCTGGGGGTCGTGCATCTTGTAGGCGAGCCACTCCTCGCAGTGCTTGATCTCTTCCTCTAGAGAGGGATCGGAGTCAGCGGTTCGGGGGACAGGGTCGCCGAAGAGGAAGCGGTTCGACATGACGGCGTCCTTGGCGATGTACTTGAGGGCAGTCTTGGGCTTGTCGCAGAGGGCACGCCAGAGAAGAGTCTCCATCTCCTTGACGGCGGAGAGGTTACGGCCCTTGATGGTCTTGAGATTCTCCTCATCTGATTCCTCATCTGCGTCGTGCTCCTTTTGCTTGCCACCGCCGTTGAAGAAGTCGGAGCCTTCGATGCCGGATACAATGCTACCGTTTTGTTGGCGCGGGGTAAGTTCCATGCCTCTTTGGCTGGAGGGACCACCGAATTTGCTTTCTTCCGCATTAAGTCCGTGAGGTGAGCGGTCGTTGGTAAGACCAAGCATAGTCGGCATGATGGCGGTTGTCTGTGTTAAAAAGATGTGATGTGTATATGTACTAGTTTGAAGATCTGATCTGCTTTTAGATGCAAGAGTGACAATGCAGGGCAGAATGGAAACGGGGAATGCAAGACATAAAATACACAAAAGCAGAAGCAGAAATACCAAGTTTCACGTATTTTCCATGCTTGGGAGTTCCAAATCCTGATTGCTGGCTATCCTGGCAGCCAGAGTGACGTCAACCTTGGGATGCATCATGCTCATGCCTGTAGCAAAAAGTTGGATAAGATTATGACGGAGATCGACACTAATCGAACATGTTTTACTGCGCAGACCAAGAGTTTCATTGGGTAAGATGATCCCCCATAATGGATCATCCATGGAGCGTTCCTGATGCTCAAAAAGTGTGCAGTTGCTAACAATTTCCCATCGATCTCGGGTCGGGGATTTACTGAACCATCCATAGCGCCCACTAACACTAACGAACGGTGCCTGTAACCTTAGGTAGCAGATCTCAACGGTTGTGGCGGTGCTCCAGGCATGGCTTCCTTTGACACCAGCCACATACTCTCCACCCACTCCCCACTATCCGCAATGATTTCCGTCAAGCCAACATGGATCCACCAAAATTTCTGAATGCAATTCTCAGTTGCTAGCACTTTTCTTCACATTGGATCTTCAGCCCAAGCTCGTTGCTCAAGCACGCGTTATAGCGCATACCCTTCCTTTACAATGGATATCCTCAAGGTTTTATCCCGTGGAACTAAAAAGACACAAAAGAACAGCCAAAACTCTAGCAATTCTCAGCAGAAGCTGCCCTCGGCTGGCACATCTACAAACCCCCAGCTCTACCATGATCAGGTGCGCGGCCAGAAGCGAAAGCGAACAAAGAATGAGCCCGAACCCGAAGCTCACCATGAGCTCCCCGAAGTCGACTTCTTTGCCCCCAAGCCAGAGCCTGTAGTCAAGGCAGCTGTTGAGACGGAGGAGCCCGTTCAAGTACCGAAACCTACACGGCCGTCTCGATTGTTGAGTGAGGACGAGTGTCGCCAGCTGCTACGATCGCATCGATTAAAGATCACTCTACTCTCAAAGACAGAGGATCAGTCCAAGGTCAAGAAGAGCAAGAAAAAGAAGAAGGCGGCTGTCGAAGTGAAGAAAGATGGAAAGAAGCAGCTCTTTCCACAGCCTTTGGACTCCTTTGGCGAGCTGCGCAATGCCTACGGTCTCTCAAACAAGGTCGCCGATAATCTTGTATTCCAGGGATACCGAGTTCCTACTGAAGTTCAGATGGGCAGTCTTCCTCTTCTCGTACACCCCCAGGCTGCCCTGAAAGATGAAGATGGACTAGAAGCAGGAGTCGATTTCCTCGCAATCGCCCCGACAGGAAGCGGAAAGACTATCAGTTTCTTGGTTCCCGCTATCAACAATATCTTGCGCCGGCGCTCGCAGCAAAGCCTCGACGATATTCACGAACTCGAGGCGATTATTGTTGCACCAACTCGAGAGCTGGTGCATCAGATCGTTAGCGAAGGACAGAAGCTTGCTCATGGAACTCGGCTGAAGGTCGTCTCGATGAAGAAGCGCACACAACTTTCAGCCGAGCAAGTGGATATGGCGGAAGATGGCTCTGAGGATGAAGAGGACAAGGAGTCAGATTCTGAGGATGAAGATGAGAGCAAGGGAGACGACAAGCCCAAGCAAATCACAAAGGCTGACATTCTGGTCACCACACCCTTCCTCCTACTAAAGTTTCTTACTTCGGGACCTCCAAGCACACAAAAGGTTCTGCCTACTGTGAGAGACTTGATATTGGATGAGGCGGATGTCTTGCTAGATCCTCTTTTCCGAGATGCCATGATGTCTGACTGGACAGCATGTACAAACCCCGACCTGAGGGTGTCATTTTGGTCTGCTACCATGGGCTCAAACATTGAGTCTATGGTTACGGAGAAGCTGACTTCAAGAGCACAGTCGCTGGGTATCACACCGAAGCCCTTTGTGCGACTAGTCGTCGGTCTCAAGGATACTGCTGTTCCAAACATTGCTCACAAGCTTATCTACACTGCGACTGAGCAAGGTAAACTACTGGCATTGCGACAGCTGCTACATCCTACGGCTGCTGATGATTCGGGCCCTCCTCTCCGGCCTCCGTTCTTGGTCTTTACGCAAACAATTGACCGAGCAACTGCTCTGCACGAGGAGCTACAATACGACATTCCTCTAGAGGCTGGAGGTGCAGCAAGAATAGCTGCCCTTCACAGTGGTCTCACAGACTCTGCTCGATCTTCCATCATGCGCAAGTTCCGTGCTGGAGACATCTGGGTTCTGATCACAACAGATGTGTTGGCACGAGGTGTAGACTTTGCCGGAGTCAACGGTGTTGTCAACTACGATGTCCCCGGCTCCAGCGCGGGCTACGTCCATCGCGCAGGACGAACAGGCCGAGCAGGTCGCGAAGGTGGTGTGGCGGTCACATTCTACACCAAGGAGGACATTCCCTTCGTCAAGATGGTCGCCAATGTTATCGCTGCAAGCGAGAAGCAGGCTGGCAAAACAGGAGATGAGGCCGGGGTGCAGAAGTGGCTCCTAGATGCTCTCCCTAATGTCGGCAAGGCAGACCGCAAGAAGCTCAAGGAGCGAGGTGTGGAAGCGCGCCGGAGTGGAAATAAGGCCAAGATCACGTCCAAGAGCGGGTATGAGAGACGAAAGGAGAACAACCGCCGCGGTGCTATTGAGGGTAGCAAGAAGAGGAAATTACAGGCGAATGAGGACAGTGGTGATGATGGTGAATGGGGTGGTTTCGATGACTAGGGAGATCACTATGCAGTTATGGGAAAAGCATGATTATTTGGGGATATAGGGCGATGGAATCTGGAGATCACAAAAAGCAGAAAAGCTTGGACTTGCGAGCCGAGTTTGACGGCTAGTTGTACTTATAGCTAGTTCCGCATCAGGCATAAAATGTCTCAGAATAATGTGATATAGAGAAGACTTCTCATGGGACTCCCGCCTTTTTCATGAATGTGTTGACGGAAACGGGAAATCTGATGATTAAAGAGGACCGAAATATTTAGCATGGCACGTTGATGATTGACTTGCTGAGTATTGATGAGTTGTTTAGCATAACCTAGTCGTGGCTGAACTGAGGCCATACAGATCCAATAAGACGCGACTCAACAGCGAAACCGTATCAGCCAGGGCTCAAACTAATGTCTTCTCGTCCAATAGAGAAATTCATCTGAACAGTTTGTGACTACGGATATCTTGACAGTTGTATAAAAATGAATGACTGACTGACGACTGACGTCTTTAAACATCGTTCTGGTGAAATAGTGATATGCTCATCTCCACTATTTGAATGTGACATTAATATTTGGGGGCTGGAAATGCACTAGCAATAGGTTGGTTAACTTTCAAAAGGGCACCTCGAGTCAAGCAGCACGTGGACATTCCAGAGACCGACTTTTCCTCTTGACAAAGGCATTCTTATGCTCTTGATTGTTCCTGGTGACGATTACGAGTCAAAAATAAATTAGGGGACACGCCAAGGAAAGCCAAGATTAGACAAGCGTTGGCCTTTCTTGGTGTTGCAGGGGAACTGACCACACCCACTTTCTACTACCAGCCTTTTTTGTTTCGACTAATGTTGATCCTTTGTTAGTAGCGGTAGTTGTTGCTATGACTTGGTTGTGTGATATTCGTTGATATTCATGAGGCCCGTCACTTGTATCACACAGATCTGCCTGTTGTCACTCACTATGCGGGAGAAAGAATCACACAGAGTAAAAGACAACAAATATTATTATATTATCTGGGAAATGCAATCTTATATGGCGTCTCGGCGTCTAATCAAGCATCTTGGCCCCCAGCCTAAAACAAGAGACGGGCCCAAAGCCAAGACCGCTGCGCCATCATCCACACGCCAAAGCGTGGCTCTTTGTGATGCCCTCAACTTCCCAAAGCAGCATGGCCAGGCCGTTCCCTTTATTAACCACTCTCAATAAGTCATCTGACGCTTGTAATTGGCCCAGGCTCTAGAGTCCCCTCGTAGCCTGAAACAAATACATACACCACCAACCTATCTTGGCCATTTTCACTCCGTACACTATTACCTCTAGGTAGGCTTGGGTTGTGCCAGGAACAGAATTGAGATCTGCTGCCCAGACTTGGAGGTGACGCTGGGCTCCTTTACCCCTTTGAGTCCTGCAGCAGTTGTAGTGTAGCTAGTAGTAGTTGTTGTGTTATTTGGATCCTCTTTAATATCGCCCATCTCCCCACCGAAGGATGGAAATCCTCCCCATCCTTCGAGTTCCTCCTAGAGGTTGGTACTGAAACATATCAGTCGTGCATTTTTCGGCATTTCTTACTTTATTGAACTATACACTCTTTTTGTCTTTACTTCCAGTCACTCCTTAAAAATATCTTGGAATCTCTGTTGTCTTTGAGTCCACTCTTTGAAGACATTCACAGAAACACTCCTATCAACTGTTGATATCGACGATCTCAGAGACTCGATAATAGGTCTCAAAATATCTATAGTCACCCAGACTGAATAGATTAAAGACTTGAAACCATGAAGGTCACCAATCTTTCCATTCTGGCTTACACGGGCCTCGCCACGGCCCTCACACAGCAATGCTCTGGCAGCGCCGTCAACGAAGGCGGAAACTGGTTCTGCGGTGTTATTGATCAGATTCTCTATGAGGGATTCTCCAGCAGTGGAAGCTTCAAGGCTGTTACAAAGATGGGAGATGATGGATCTTGTGATCAGGAGCCCTTCTCTTACGACGGTGCTCTTGGACCTCTGAGTGAGGATGTAAGTTGACCGTCGTCACTCGGCCATTTCACAGTATAAACTAACATACTATAGCTGTCTGTCCACATTCGAGGCCCCTTCAATCTCAAGGAGTTTGCAGTCTACAATCTCGGGTCCAGCGAGAAGAAGCGTGACTCTGTTCCCTCTCCTCACCTCCACGGCCATCGTCATTTCCACGAGCAGCGCAGGAAGAAGCGTGGGGACTGGGTCACTGCCACCATCGACGGACAAGTCGTATCCTGGGAGAACACTTATAACGGAAGCCCTGCTACCCAGGCTGCTCCTGTTGGTATCCCTGCTGCTCCTACCGACGCTGCGAAGAAGCCCCTGAAGCTAAAGGCTGACCCCCTGCCTGGAGTGGACAAGATCAAGAGCAAGGTTGAGAATGTCAAAAGCAAGGTGGACCAGGTCAAGAGCAAGGCTACCTCAAAGGCAAAAGAGTACACTGCTACTCCTGGCGGACATTGGAAGCGCACTTCTTACTACAACGCTCAGCGGCGTGTTGCTGATAACGTTGTCTTCATGGGTAACTATGGCGGCGAGGGATCCGGAGTCTTTGACAAGTAAGTTTCTGTCACTCCTCGATATGCCTTTATACTGACTGAGTATAGCACCTGGGGTAACTCTCTCTCTTACCTCAACGCCAACGGAAACGGTGGCTCCTCTTCTCCCAAGATCCTGAAGGACGTCTTCATCCCTTCCAACAAAGAGTTCTCCATCTTCAGCTCTGAGAAGTGTGACGAGAGCTGCGGTTACTCTCGTGTCCCTGATGTTGCCTATAGTATGCTACCTCCCCTCAGCCTAGATATATCACTCACTGATCCCCCTTACAGAGGGCTTCTCCGGCTCAAACAAGATCTTCCTCTTCAACTTCAAGATGCCCTTCGATGGCAACACCGGCTTCAACGGCGACATGCCCGCCCTCTGGGCTCTCAACGGCCGCATTCCCCGAACCGGCCAATATAGCGGATGCAGCTGCTGGAAGACAGGCTGTGGTGAGGTCGACATCTACGAGGTCCTCGCTACTGGTGATGATAAGTGCAAGAGCACATTCCACTTGACAAACGGCGCTGGAAGCTCTGACTACTTCAAGCGTCCTGCCGACCAGTACATCAAGGTTGCTGTTGTCTTCTGTGAGCGTACGTCGAGCGTCGCTATCAAGCAGTTGGATGACGCCTTTGACTTTGGGTCATCTTTGAGCGACGAGACTGTGAGGGACTGGATTAAGACCATGTCTACCCCTAAGAAGGGAAGCAGTCTGTTCCAGCTGTCTGTTTCCGTGTAAGGGTAAGACCTGAGTTGGGTCTGTTTGCTGTTGGTGTGATGTAATTTGATTCTTTGATACCTATTCTTTTGTACATATATATCAAGATACCAGTTGATAATTGTTCCATAACTGGTCCACCGTAAACCCACTTGTGTTGTCTATCATCTTATCATTCTTTGCAAAGCCTAGGTACTCTGCATGAACGCGATATATCATCTATTGTTCTATACAGCTTTCTAGGTTATAGCCATTGTTACAATATTATACAGTTCCATCATTCATACATCATCGCAATGATTAAAAGTCTACTGATAGTACAAACCCTCCAGAGTTGATTCATGAGCTCTTGGAACTCGACTGCTTGTCTTCTTCAAGCTTCTTATCTTCTTCGGGACTTGCCTTGTTCTCCTCTGCTGCTGAGAGTCCAACAACATTTCTTATCGAACCAAAGCTTAGACAGTCGCTGATGCGGTTGGCACCAGAAAATAGCATGACCATACGCTCAACACCACATCCCCAGCCGCCCGTAGGGGGCAGGCCATAGTCGAGAGCCTTGACATAACTTTGATCGAGAGGAGCAGCGTCGCCGTCCTCGTCTTCAAAAGGCTCATCTAGAGCTTCCTCAACGGCTGCTTCGCCTTCAGGCGTCTCATTATGTTCAATTGCAATGCTACCGTCATCCTTGTTGACGAGGTTTCGATGGTCGAGCAGCTTACGCTTCTGCTCTTCGGGGTCGTTTTCCTCTTCGTACATGTTTGCCAATTCACGGCCACCAATGAAGAGTTCTGCACGAGCAGATACTAACTGATAAGTTTGCGGGCAAAGGAAGCTCTTCGCAAGAGGTGACATGCAGGCTGGATGGTTCATGATAAGGATAGGCTCCGTGAATGACATGGGTTCCAGGTAAACGGCAGCCAGACGATCTAGCAGCTTGGCCAACGAGGCAGGCACATCACCTGGCACCTTGATGCCAGCAAGCTTTAGGATAGCCAGGAGTTCTGGTAAAGCATCTGGAGATGAGAGCTTGGGCAGACGAAGCCCAAGGGCTTCTTGAAGTGCGGGAACGAACTCGACCCGTTTGAAAGGTCGCACAAACTGTTTCATGTCGATGGAAGGCAAAGATGTGAGTTGGGTAGAGATGAGATCTTGGGAGTGTTGGGCTAGACTGCAGAGAATCTCTTCGGTCTGGTTGATCAAGTCCTCCAGATTACTGTAGGCGCTGTAGAACTCACACATAGTAAACTCGGGGTTGTGTGTCGCGTCAACACCCTCGTTACGGAACGAGGGTCCAATCTCAAAGACTTTGTCGACGCCTCCAATAACGAGACGCTTGAGCCATAACTCTGGGGCAATGCGTAAGGCGAGATCTTTATCCTTGAACTCAGTGGCTCTCGTAACAAAAGGGCGGGCCACCGCACCGCCAGCGTTTTCAGCGAGAATCGGTGTCTGGAACTCGAGGAATTTTCTTGAGTGAAAATAATCACGCATGTGCTTAGTGATCTCGGCGCGCAGCCGGAGGACATCAATTGCTTGTCGGTTCACCAACATATCAACATGACGTTCTTGCATTCTGGTCTTGGGATCCGTGAGTTTCTCTGGGATCTGCTCCATGGTAGGAGACAAAAGTTCAGGCAAAGTCTTGGCCTCCAAGGTGAGTTCACCGGCTTTAGTAAGAACCGGTACACCAACGACAGCTGCCAGGCTGTAAGCATCTGGGAAATAACAGGATAAACATTAGGGATCCTACATATGTGGTCGCCCACTTCTATTAAATTTCTGAACATTGCGAACTTCAAACTCCTTGCCTCCTCTTCTACCATGCACTTTGACCGGTTGAGCATGACCTGTAGACGCTCAAATTCATTCACGATGTCGAGAAAGATAAGATTCTTTCCGACGACGCGCTTGGATCGAACTCGGCCACAAACGCTGACGTGCTTGGAATCATCAAGAACATCTCGAAAAGCTTTATGAAATTCAGGCACCGTCTTGCGCTCTGCATGATGGACGAGGCGAGGGTGTGTCTCTTCGAATAGAGGATCCTCGCTCTCTTTCTCAGCCCAGAGCTCAGTGCGACGCTGTTGCTTGAAAGACGAATATCCTTCCAGGCCATCTTGGCTCCTAGCGGCCGAAGTAGCTAGGGACCTCCCATGTATCACGCTTTGTGAACCCCATAATGTCCTTGAGGAATTGCCACAGCTGAGCACATGTGAGCAACGAGCACTTGTGGTCTGGGAGATCGAATGTATCAAAGGCCGACTGGCCTGTCGCAAGTATCGTACAGACATCATGGCTTCTGTCAATGAGGTTAGCAGTGCTTCAATAACTCATTGCTAAGACATCAAAGAAATGTGTTGCACTAGAATCAGAAAATTGGCAGTTTAAATCAACCACAGCAAGCCGTGTCAATCGCAGCGGTTCTGAAGCGAGTATGCGAATTCATCATTTAGGCAAAGGGAAGAGGGATAATTGAGAGCCATATGCGTACTTACAATCATGATGGTGACATGGAACTCTCGCTCCATGTATGAAGAAAAAAAAGAAGCGATTTGGAGCCGATCTGCGAAAATTTAAAGAGAGCCGGTTCGCCGAAAATAATCCGGCAAGCTTTGGTGGAGCCATGACCGCCACATCGCAGCCTCGACAATATGTGGCGTAGTTAGTCTATGTTTTCCTTACCAACCACTCGAGGCTGAAATTTGTTCCAAGGCAAATATCCATCGATCGCTTGGTCTGGCGCAGCTCCACCAATTCCGCGATACTTTTGCGCCGGATCGTTCAATTCACCTTCGCCATCTGCAAATAGCGAATACCATCCATAAATCATCAATCATGGCTCAACAGCCCCTTCCCACGTCTATGCAGCCCACTGACATCTATGGAGGAGGTACGCGCAGCTCTAGCTCCCCATGTCGCGTCAGCCCGCCAAAGATCTCCACTAACACATGTTGATATAGATGAGGTTTCTGCCCTCGTTCTCGATCCTGGATACTGCTACACTCGAGCTGGCTTCGCTGGTGAAGATGTTCCCAAATCTATCCTCCCATCATTTTACGGTCACACAACCGGCGACAACCCTAAAGACCTGTTTGGTGATGAGTGCCTCATCCCTCGCCCCGACTTCGAAGTCCGCAACTACATGAATAAGGATAGTGTGGTGGAGGATTGGGACGTTGCTGCTCGAATTTGGGAGAACATGCTTGTCAAGCGCTTGCAACCCGAACGACAAACACCTCCCTCGAAGAACGGTCTAAACGACGACCCCAAGGCAGAAGGCCAGGACGGAGAGGGCGATGTGGCCATGGACGACGCCGATGCTGCCGAATCTGCCGAGAAGCCGTTGGGCGAGAATCCCCTCTTGATTACAGAGGCTCCCTGGAACACACCCAAGGCTCGTGAGAAGGCTATTGAGATCATCATGGAGAACTGGGGCTGCCCTGCTTTCTGGTTGAGTCGTACTCCGGTGCTGGCAGCATTTGCCGCTGGCAAGGCTACCTCTCTAGTTATCGACGTGGGCGGTGCCAACACTTCAGTCACAGCTATTCATGACGGTATGGTGCTGAAGCGATCTATACAGAAGTCTCCTGTTGGTGGCATCTGGCTCTCCTCTCAGATTCGAAATCTCTTTGAAGCATCAGAGCCCAAGGTCGAGCTGACACCCACCTTCATGATCGAGAACAAGACGCCTGTCGACGCCCTGGCACCTCCCTCAGTCCGACTACGACACTTCCCCTTTCAGATCAACGATTCATTCCGCGCATATGAGGAAGAGCGTGTGTTGACGGAATTCAAGGAGTCAGTGGTAGAAGTCTGGCGAGGCCCCGGTCGTTACAGTGTTTCCGGCAATGAGGATTATGTTAAGACGCAACCCGGCCGCGTATTCGAAATGCCTGACGGTTATAACCAGATGTGGCGCGAGCAGCGATTCCGGGTGACAGAGGGCATGTTTGACGAGACCGTCGGATATAATGGCTCCGGCGCTGAGCAACTCACCAAAGCGCAAACCATCCCCGAGCTCATCCGCTCTGCTTTGAACGCAGTTGACGTCGATCTTCGAGGCAACCTCCTGGCTAACGTTGTCGTAACTGGCAGCACTAGTCTGATCAACGGATTCAACGACCGCCTGAACAACGAGTTGATGGCGATGTACCCCGGACTCAAGATCAAGATTCACGCGGCAGGTCTTACAAGTGAGCGACGCTTCGGTGCCTGGATTGGCGGTAGCATTCTCGCTAGTTTGGGCACTTTCCACCAGATGTGGATTTCGCGAAAGGAGTATGAGGAGAATGGACCTAATGTGGTTGAGAAGCGATGCAAGTAAAAGGCCAGGCTCTAGGTGCTTTGGCTTCTGGCGTAACGGAGTTGGGGAGAAGATGTACTTACAATCTGAAATCAGAAGGGCCTGGTAAGGCAAAAGTTCATTCTAGATGGTTAGGATAGGAATAAGCCGCCGTTCAATCAATTGCTGTAGTGAAGTGTTTGTCCAAAAGAGTAAATGTCAATCTCTTATGTGCTATACATTATTATTTGCTCTCTTCTTTTGCCTCAAGCTCCCTTTCCGCTCTCCGTTTCTGAGCCCATGTTCCAATTTCTGCCCATATACGTTCTTTTTCAGCTGGCGATAATGTAGCAGCAAGACCACTTGTGCTGCTCGACACAAACACTTTGGATCCTTCCCATTCGCCCTCGATCACCCCCATGTTCTCCGACTCGTCCTGCCAGCCATACTTGAAGGCCTTTCCAACAGGTTTGCCATGTCTCACGCGCCAAATACTCTCCCATATACTCTTACCCACCACACATACAGACTCGGGACGGTACTTGCGACACTTTTCATGAAGAATTTCAACCCCCTCGTCCATCTCCTGCTTGCTAAGCTCAGAGCCATTGCGACTGGGTCGGGCGACAATGTTGGTGAACCCCATGGAGTACAGTTCAGGGAGTTGACGATCTTCGGTTGGGCTGCAGAGACGCGGTGTAAGGCCGCTTGAGTAGAGGAGTTTCCAAAACAGGTTGGACGGATGCGCATATGCATGGCCTGTTCGTGCTGTCTGTATACCAGGGTTCAGACCGATGAAGAGAACGAGAAGATTTGAGGCGATGGCATCTGGCAGGCCATTGAGATGTGCGTATGTTGAAGGAGGCGCATATCCAGAAGCCTGGCGTGCTCTCTTTTTCTTTGGTTTAATATCTTTCTCTTTGTCTTCAACATCTCGCTCTTTGGTCCGTTTCGTTTTAGCGGCTGAAGCGGATGAGACTGAGGTCGAAATGGTGGGAGTTGTGAATCTCGGGGATCTTCGTATAGGGGAAGTCTGGCCACTTGAAGATTCGTTTGATTTGAACATGAAGTCACTCATTTGAAGACGTCCCTTGAAGGTTGCTGGCTGAGGAGGCGAGCTTGAGATATCCCGCTCCTGTTCGGCACCATCGTCACCTACAGGATCTTGAATAGTGGCCTCTTGAGCAGCTTTGCTTCTCGTCATTGTGACTAGGTAGTCTGTTGGTGTAAGTGGGAGTAACTATAGAACAGTCTAGCGGTTTTTGCCAGACAAGGAATAATGAGGCGGTTCAAAGACTTCTGATGGAATAGCACATATGCGTTTAAATACTTCCCGGAGATCAATACATCATATTTGTGAATCTATTACTTGATATCTTAGCTTTAGGCAACTGTTCTACAAAATAATGTGGTAAAAGTATGAAGACTGGTCTGGCTCATTCGCCACAGGCAGCCAGATCTGAAGGTCTCCGGAGCGAGAAACAGGAGCTTTGGGTCCGACAATTAATGACCTTTCAGCTAAGAGTCTACACGAACATGTTCTTGAAATGAAAACACCTTGATAGCATTGCATACTTTCCTCGTTCTCACCGAATGGATCGTCACTATCATTGGATGTTGAATGAAGGAGATGTAATGAAGCCCAAGTATTGCTGGTAGGCAAAATATAGTGCACGGATTTTTATCGTAACCAAGGTGACCCAGGACCTGGCCTCCTAGCAGAGTGCTATTTTCAGCACCTGTAACCCAATGTAAGCCGCCACAGCCTCATAAAACAGCCCTGTCCGTTCGTGTCTGAGCTATGGGCGACAATGTCATAGTGGGGTTATGAGACATGGGAGACAGACAAGTTGACGATTACGAACCCTGCAGGTCCCTGACGAAAATCTAGATCATTTTTCCTTTTCGTGAACATCGCGGATCCCCGTAGTAGTCTCGACAAATACGACATCAGCCGTTACACTCTTTATCAGTACATTCTTTGAGTTTCTGGATCTTGAACACAAACTCTGACTGTACAAGTCGCTGAGCTTACGTACGCATCAGTTGTCATACCAGTAAATCCAATAGGAGGTGGCAGCGCAACAGCATGGGCGCTATAGCGCTCTCAGCAAGCCGCTGCATCAGCACCAACTTGTGAGCATGAAGCAGGATCGATGGGGTCCCTCAGCCGCCGATTCCCCCACTCTAATTGGCGGACTAAGCTCAAATTGGACCTTGCGCACTAACGGAGTAGGCGGGGCAGCTGAGGGGCATCAGTGTTGCTCGACGTTGGTTGGCGTTGCATGGCAGCGTGGGAGGAGCTTCAAGCATTGTACCTTACCTTACTTACGGTGAGGTAAACGGTGTTACAAGTCAGGTAAGAGCGTAGCAACCAGGTAAGCTAAGAGGCGTCTTAGTTGCTAGGGAAGTTGAGGTAAGACCGAAGACGTCAGGGACAACGGGAGAAGTAAAGGAAAGTTGCGGGTTGCTGTGTAAGGGTCTTTCCGAGATCGACTTCCTCCAATTCGTATTTAGATCTCAATTCTTCCCACCCCATAGTTCCTAGCTCATTACTCTTTTCTTTTCTTTTCTTCAATACCAGCCTTTGAATACTCCGTCTTTGTGAAGTTTCTGGACGTTCGTCTTCAAGCTTCTGATCGCTCTCACCGCAACTCTCACAAACCTCACATACACTTACATCACAATGGAGGCCATCAAGCAAGCCCTTCACCTTGGCAAGTCCAATGATGCCCCTGCTGAGCCCAGCCCCGAGGCTCTCAACGAGCTCAAGGAGAAGTACACAAAGGCCGGTCAAGAGCAAGTCTTCACCTTCTACGACTCTCTCTCATCGGCCGAGCGAGGAACTCTGTACCAGCAGCTTTCTGGCTTCGACCCCGCCCATATCAACGACATCACACACCGCGCCTTGAACCCTCCCAAGACCAGCGATGAGCCCGATCGCCTCGAGCCTCTCCCCGAATCTGCCACCGCTAGCATTCTCGACTCCAGTGCCGATGATATCTCTAAGTGGTACGACTCCGGTCTTGACCTCATCTCCAAGGGTCAGGTCGCCGTTGTCCTCATGGCTGGCGGTCAGGGCACCCGTCTTGGTAGCTCTGCCCCCAAGGGCTGCTACGACATTGGCCTGCCCTCCCACAAATCTCTCTTCCAACTTCAGGGTGAGCGAATTGTCAAGATCCAGGAGCTCGCCGCCAAGAAGTCTGCTGGCTCCAACGCTGTGGTTCCCTGGTACGTCATGACCAGTGGTCCTACCCGTGGCCCTACCGAGAAGTTCTTCCAGGAAAACAACTATTTTGGCCTGAGCCAAGACAACGTCAAGATCTTCGAGCAGGGTGTACTACCCTGCATCTCCAACGATGGCAAGATCCTCCTCGAGACCAAGGGCAAGGTTGCTGTTGCCCCTGATGGAAACGGTGGCCTCTACAACGCTCTTGTCGTCTCCGGTGTCGTTGATGATATGCGAAAGCGCGGTATTCAGCACATCCACGCCTACTGCGTTGACAACTGCCTTGTGAGGGTCGCTGATCCCGTCTTCATTGGTTTTTCTGCTGCCCTCAATGTCGACATTGCCACCAAGGTGGTCCGTAAGCGCAACGCTACTGAGTCTGTCGGTCTGATTCTCTCCAAGAATGGCAAGCCCGATGTTGTTGAGTACTCCGAGATCGACAAGGCCACTGCTGAGGAGCTTGACCCTAAGCAATCTGATCTCCTTCGATTCCGTGCTGCCAACATTGTCAACCACTACTACTCTTTCAGCTTCCTCGACTCTATTCCTCAGTGGGCTCACAAGCTCCCCCACCATATTGCCCGCAAGAAGATCCCTTCTGCTGATCTTGAGAGTGGCGAGACCGTCAAGCCTGAGAAGCCCAATGGCATCAAGCTAGAGCAGTTCGTTTTCGATGTCTTCCCCTTCCTGACCCTGGACAAGTTTGCCTCACTCGAGGTCAAGCGTGAGGACGAGTTTTCTCCCCTCAAGAACGCTCCCGGCACTGGCGAGGATGACCCTGATACCAGCAAGGCCGATATCATGACCCAGGGCAAGCGCTGGGTCGAGGCTGCTGGTGCCATTGTCGTTGGTGACAAGGCCGATGTCGGTGTTGAGGTGTCCCCTCTCATCAGCTACGTAAGTAAAATCCCATGATATTCATGATGCACATGATGCTAACACTTTCCAGGGTGGTGAGGGTCTGGAGAAACTCAAGGGCACCGAGATTACACCCCCTACTCTCCTATGGCGAGAGTAAGAAGAAAATAAATGATACCATACCAACCAGGACGACGTAACGATGCTGTGGTCCTAGGTTTGGCCGCTAAAAGTTGTTTGAAAGACCTTTGTGTAGTTTATGAAATACATTGATCACAAGTAATGATAAAGATATTAAAAGACTCTGGTTTGGAACTTTCTGTATATCATGCAAACGTGAAGTGGATTAAATTGAAAGTTTCGACTGCTCCTGCTCTTTATGTAGATATCTATATCCTGTCTAAAATGGCGCAAGTCTATGATTTGAGATTTTTAGGTGTCTATGTCTATTTGTTTTTTAGTTGGGGTTGGGTCGGTCGTCAGCTCGCTGGTCATCCTCATGGTCGGCGAGGAACTTCTCGGCCTCGAGGGCAGCCATGCATCCGGTACCGGCGCTGGTAATGGCCTGTCGGTATCGCTTGTCCTGGACATCACCAGCGGCAAAGACACCCTCGACGTTGGTGTATGTGGTTCCAGGAACCGTCTTGATGTAGCCATCCTCGTCCATGTCAACCTGGCCCTTGACAAGGGTAGTGGCGGGGTCGTGGCCGATGGCGTAGAAGAGACCGTTGGCCTCGTGGACCTCCTCCTCTCCGGTCTTGTTGTTCTTGACAACGAGGTGGCTCATAAGACCATCCTCACCACCTCGGATCTCGGTGGCGCCACTGTTGAACTTGACGGTGACCTTGGGGTGGTTAAGGAGACGGTTGGCCATGGTTCGGCTGGCACGGAGGACGTCGCGACGAACGAGGACAGTGACGTGGCTGGCATACTTGGTGAGGAAAGTAGCCTCCTCGGCGGCAGAATCACCACCGCCGATAACGAAGAGAGGCTTGTTGCGGAAGATGGGGACGGCTCCGTCGCAGACAGCGCAGGCGGAGACACCGTTCTGCCAGTACTTGTCCTCGCCAGGGAGGTTAAGACGGCGGGCCGAGGCGCCGGTGGCGATGATGACGGAGTCGGCGGTGTGTGTCTCCTCGGGGGAGAACTCGGTGCTGTACTTGAAGGGGCGGGAGGAGAGATCGAGGGTGGTGACGGTGTCGGTGACAATTTCTGTGCCGAAGCGCTCGGACTGGGCTCTCATGTTGTCCTAGATGTTGTGTTAGTTACTCACGAGTTACCGAGGAAGAAGCAAAAGCTTACCATCAACTCGCCGCCCATGATCCCCTTGGGGAAACCGGGGAAGTTCTCAACCTCGGTGGTGGTGGTCAATTGACCACCAGCAGCAATGCCATTGGCCATGAAGCCCTCATAGAGAACGGCTATGCGGTGTCAGTTCATCTTCAGAACTGGTAGAATAAGTGAATCTTACGCTTCAATTCAGCTCGCGCCAGGTAGACAGCAGCTGTGTGGGCAGCAGGCCCTGAGCCGATAACTAGTGATTCTCGTCAGACCTGTAGATTTTTGGAGGAGGGGTTTCATGATGGAGGGGCAACAAGCACGAGGGCATGGGCATGGATATGGATATGGACAAGCACATACTGACAACCTTGCTATGCATCTTTCTAACACCAAAATCTACAGCCGGTTTTCTCGTGGTTTTATGAAAAGTAGTCGCCGCTGCTGCAATTGATAGACCAGCGCTGGAACGAAGAGTAACGCGTTTAAACGTTGAGGAGAACAGTTTGGCGGTGTTGGAGGGGGAATTATAGGTGAGAAAGAAAAGGTGGGCTGTCGCGATACTTTTAATATGGATGGATCAATGACAGAAAACGCCACTAGCAAAGCATGTACCTATGGACTGAGTCGCTACTGAGGTACGGTTGAGGGGCGGTAAAAAGAAAAATAGAGCGGTTTCGGCGTATGAACCCTGAGAGAATAGCTTGGAAGAGGCAGAGAAACGTGGTGAATGTGGGGATTGATGCAATGCAAATGCAGACAGGAGATGGAATCAATTTTGACGATGGAGATGGAGAGGGAAGATGTGATTGGATAGAAGGATTTCTAAGCCGGGTTGTGGAGATGTCACTCGATGAGGCGCTCAGGACGGGCTTAGAAGGCTTAGAAGGGGATGGATGACTTGATTTGACTTTCTTTTCCAATGGTTGCCTTTATCAATCTTCAGGGCCATGACTAATCCGTCTATTACCGAATGTGGCAAGGATTTCGGATGTCTGCGAGATGAGGTGCCGACGGAGGTTTAATTGATTCCTCATGATAACCAGGGATAAGGCTCCGAACAATCAACACTAGTAGACCGTAGATAGCTCGTAACTCGGCATCCGGCTCATATGACACGACACGATTGGTTTAATCTAACTTAGACATCATGTGTAATCTACGCTCTATCGTGCCTCCTCAGCACCAACACTGCCGTCTCGCTTTCCAAACCTCGCTCCTAACGATCCAATATCTCTCTTGAAGAACTTGCCAAAGTTCCGCAAGTTCTCATTTATCGTGGCCTTCTCGAGTCCCGTCTGTGCTGCAGTGCTCGTGCTACTCTGACTGATGTCTCTTGCCGCACTTAGAAGCTTCTCACCTAGTGATCCTGCTTCGAACCGCGGGCTAACAGCCGCTGCGACTGATGGGCTCATCACTCCAAGCGGGACTGTGTTACCCAGGCTTGGGGTAGTCATGAGAGGTGTGAGCAATGGCGAGCTGGCTACCAATTTATCGTTGGGAGTGCTGTCGCGGTGAATGCCAAAGAGCTCTATCAGATGAGCATGGTCCGCTTTCCGAACGCCCTTGAGATCGAGGATCTTCTTGAAGTTTGTATCAGACCGATCCGCAATATGAATCAAATACGCCTGCACCAAACCTTCCGGCGGTGATGGCCGAACTTGAAGTGTCTTGAGCAATGGATCAAGTCTGTTCATGCAATGCTGAACTCTGCGCACAAAACTGGAAGGGGGAGTTTCATGCCCAGAGAATGATGCATGATGCATAGGTAACTTCTCGAAGGCTTTGGTGAGAACATATTTGTCAAGTAACATCTGCAAACCCACTTGTTAGCATACACCATAACTCGAACTGCTCAGATGGCATACCTGCTCGGCACCAACTTCGGATATCGGTCGGCATTGAATAATGCTAGTAATGTACCCTGTGGCCAAGTGCTCCACTAAGTTATCGCAGAAGGCCCTGGCGTACTGTTGCTTCGAGATAATAGCCAATATCTCGGCTGCCTTGCCATCAGCATGTTTTACCAGCTCTCCCACATATGAGCTCTGGTCACCAACGCTCTCCATTGTGCTCCAATTGGTATTCTTCATCTCGCGCCAGACGCCTTCACAGTCAAGCTCGACCGCGCGAACGAGAGCTAGAACAGAAGCACTCGCTACACCAAGAAAGGCATCCGATTGTGAAGACAAGTCGACCTTAGAAACAAGCTCACTGTCAATGCGTTTCTTGATGCTTTCCTCCAGCTGATTAGTGTTGATGTGCCAAAAGTCTGCTGTATTCAACACAAGCACAACATCCTGTAATGGAGGCCCTTGAGGTCCACCAGACTGTAATATGTGTAGCAAGACCTGCTGGGCATATTCATCGAGATACTTGGCCAGTATCTTTGCCAAATCAAGAAGACGCTCACTCGTAGATAGTTTCGCGCATTGTGACAACGTGAGTTTGTAAAAATGAAATAACTCAATGGCCGAGGCAATAACGGCTTGTGGTGAGAACTCGTCGTCAGGCGGTATGAGCGGTTGGCTGCGGTACTTGGGTATCATGACTGCCAATTGTCTATCTTGCGACTCAACCCACAAACTCAAGTATGGTTCGAATGCGACTGAGATCAATCCGTGGAAACTATGGGCCTTTTCCTCAACAGAGCTGAGCGTATCGATGCTGGCCCTCGATGAAGTCGCGAATCGCTTCTCGAGGCTCTGCTCAAAGTCGAGAGTCTCTTGAAGGCAACTCAACAACAGATTGACATCGATCTTGTTACCGTCTGTCCGTCGCATGCTTCGTTCCAGGATGCCCTTGAAATCATCTCGAGTACCGTCGCAGAAAGCTGCTGCCAATGTCTCATTAGCCCTCCAGTGTGGAGGAAATATCACAGCGTGTTCGTCATCGTGAGTCTTCATCATTCGTTTGAACCAGGCATATCGCCGCCCAATGTTGTCCAGACTTCCAGCCTCGTCGTTACCGCGGAACACCTGTCTGTATTCTCGAAGCTCTGTATTGACGTACCAATTCATGAGCCGAGCCTTGGCAGACTCTCCAAGTGCATCCATGACTAGGCATGCTTCAACAAGTGTGCCTCTTCGCGCGCCGACTTCTCCTTTAGCAAATGCCATTTCAAAGTCTTCGCAGACCTGTTCTAGTAGTTCTCTTTGCAGCTCGGCCACACCTCTGCTCAGAGTCGCGATCTGCTCGATACTGCGATAGCTGTTGAAGTGTTTCATGAGCTGCAGAACAGCCTGCAAGAGCCCTGCACACTCCCTATACTGGCGTGTCTTGGCCAAGCCCCTGAGCTGCTCATAAGCCGTTGTCAGCATCTGCAGCCTCTTGAGGGCCGTCATGCTCAGCGTGAGGTTCTTCTTCGTTCCATCGAGTCTCTTTATGTCGGCCGTCATCGACGTGATGTTCTGCTCGGTCTCAATCGCTCTCGAGCGCACCGTCTCGATCTTTCGAAATAGCTGTGCTAGCTCAGCTTGCGCCGACTGCATACGCTCGAGGCTCGAGTCGGATCCATAAGCCTGGTTCGTCTCGAGGGTGGCTATGTCGTTCGAAAGCGCACTTTGGTGGCTCTGCAGTGATTTGGACACTTCACTTATAGACGATATGGCGGATGGGTGCGAGAAGAGAAGATTGAGGTGGTCTATAGCATCGTAGTCGACTGTTCAGAAGCGTTGGGATTAGTCGCAAAGGGATAGCGGGCTTCAGCTTCAACATCAACTCACCAGCGTCAAGAGCTGAAGCCTCTGGGTAAGTCCCATTCATTATGGAAGATGTAGGGTCATTCAGAATCTAGCATATTCCAACATCAAGCAGAATTCGCTGTTCGATGTGAGCATGAGGAAGCTCCTTGCACGTGTTGAGAGCCATGATGGCTAAAAGCGGGCCACCCCTGGATGCAGTAGGTAAGCTGCCACGATGTATTGTGGCTGAACTTCCCCTGAGCCTCCAACTTGAAAGCTAGGTAGGTATTGTTCTATAGCATAGCAATCACATAATGATGATCGGATTTCCAAGGCTTATAATGGTTGAGATGCGATTACTAATGCTGTGAACAACCCTTAGGCTGTATATGATTTACTATCCACTGTTGCCAAATGCTAATGCCTAATGCCAAATGCCAAATGCGCTACTCCGCTTTACACATAACCTCAACGCTGCTACACATGAATGAGGTATATCTCAATAATATACACTCTCTACTCATCTGCATGCCTGTCACTTTCCATACTTTCCTTCTCTTTTGACGCAGGCTCCTTGCTCTTCTTTTTCATCGAGAACCGCCATGTTCCCATGCCCATGCGACCCTCTTTAGGGGCCTCCTTTGATTTGAAACTGCCCTGGCCCAGCGATGGGCTGCTGGTCACGCTTTCGTAACTGCGGCCAAGCTGCGACAGATCTTCCCCAATTTCGTCTGCATCGCCGATGCTGGAACGATGCTCTGCTGACATATTCTTCTCCGAGAACGTGCTGCTGCCAGGTCCTTTCTTGAAAAGGACGGAATCCTTGCTCAGCCTGGAAGACAAGGTACTGAACTTGCTAGAACTTCCTTTCCTGAACAATTTCTTGACAACACTACTGTCAGCATCCTTGTGGCTCGCGGCGTTGTTGTCGGTGGTAGAATTTGAGGCTGTCATTCCTAGATCCAAAGACTCATGAGATTCCGATATCGAGTTCTGTGTATGAACAGAATACGTGTCGCGAGACATCCGCGAATCTGAAGGTGAATCATCGAGGCTTGGAGGCACTTCAATGGTCGGGGTCAGAACTTCCTTGCCCTTCGTACGGCCTTCCCTAGACTTTCCGCGTTTCTCTTTATCCTTGCCCTTTGACTTATCCTTATCAGGACTTGTATCCCTTTCTCTACGGGTAAAGAAGGGTGTCCTGAAGGTCGGTGCCGCTGGGTTGAGATGTCGACTCATGGACGCACGGTGACTTGGGGGACGAGATCCGATAACGCCGACTTGGCTAGGCGATGTTTGTGGGTCGAGGAGATCGTCATCGTCAAGAATCTCATCATTGGCTGTGGCAAGGGTTGTTTCGAGCACAGTCGGTACTGCGCCGAGCGAGGGTCGGCGAGACGGGTTCCTAGAGGACCAGCGTCCTTCGTTCGGGGACCAGACTCCCTTCTTCCCCAGCATGGAGAAATCCCCAGGAATGTTCCAGATAGAGCCGCTGTCTGTTGAGGGTCGGGGGAGATCAATGGATGTGATCGATGCGGGTCGTGAGTGTGGTGAGTCATTGTCACCTGTAAGAGCTCCAGCACTACTGGCAAAAGGGTTGAGTCTCTTGGCAGAGAACGGCCTAGACGTAGGCCCCAGGCTTGATCTGTTGGTTTCACCTCCGGAGTGCCTCATCCAAGTGAAGCTCATCCTGCGCTTGTTACCCGGCATGTCGTGATCATCAGTGCTTCGGGGAAACGATTGGCTCTGTCCTGCTTTGAGACTGCCAATCGCGGGTCCTTCCACATCTGCCGGCTTCGGACCCCTGTTACGTTGAAAGTTAGATAAGAGGTTGGACAGTCTGTGGCTTGAAGCGAGAGGTGCTTGTTGAGGGGAAGAGTTGATGTTCAGGGAATGAGAGTCCACGTCGTTGTATTGGGGGAAGGGCAAGTTATGTGATGAGCCGTGAGGACTGGAAAACATGTTGAGAGAGCGTCCATCGGAAGACAGTGGCGACTGCGGGTTATCTTCCTCGGCGGCAGTAACAGAGTCTGGTAAGAATTGGCTAGGCAGATGTTCTTCAGCATCCTCAAACGTCTCGTCAAAGATTCCTGAAGGGAGAAGTGCGTGGGCTGTAGGGCTGAGTGGTCCCGCGTTCGCCCTGAAGTCGGCTTCTGACTGGTGATCATCGGCATTGTCGGCTGCATTGTGGTCCATGAATAATATTTGGCTGAATCCAGCCCGACTAAAGCCAGTTGAGAATGTGTCTTCGGGAGGGCCGAATTGGTTGGGCGGAGGTGACAAGTTGATGTGGGAAAGGGAGTTGATATTTCCGCTGTCGAGAGCATCTTGGGAGGCAGCGGGCTCAAACTCCATGGCAGTGGGGTCTGGTTGGCTGTTGTAGTAGAGCGCCAACTGATGCTGCTCTTCTTTGAGAAAGCGTATCTGCTGGTCAAGATTATGAAGCTTCTTGGTTTCGGCGACGAGCTGATTGTGCAGTTCCTTTCTCCTGGCATCCCATTCTCTTCGCACATTCAAGTCATTCTCCTTCCACTGTTCATCGTCGCCACCCGGAAGTTGCTCTCGAGCAGCCTTGAGGTCTTGGAGTTGTTTTCCCTTCTCCTTCAATTCGGCCTCCAGCTCGGCACATTTCTCCTGCAGCTCTGCATTGGAGTCGTCAAGTTCCTGGCCGTCTTTATCCCGCTTAGCTTCCAGCTCTTTCTTCTGCGCTTCGAACCCTTCCCTCTCTTTCTTCATCCTCTCCATCTCATTCTCGAGCTTTGAAGCAGTATCTCGGATCTTGGACTTCTTATTTTCCTTGTCCTTCAGCTGCTGCTCTTTTCTCGCGCGGTCCTTCTCCGCTGTACGCATTTGCTCCATGGTAGTACGGACGCTAGCCTTGAGTTGGGCGGTCTGCTCCTCCTTCTCTTTAAGCGCCTGCCTCTTGGCATCTTTCTCTTGCTTAAGCTCTTCTTCTTGTTGCTGTAGTTCAGCCTCTTCCTTGGCATACTGGGCCAAAGTCTCGTCGACTTCTTTCCGAGTGTTTTCGAAACGGCGATTCAGTTCGTCCAGCGATAGCTCCGGGCCATCTACAGGTGGAAGCTTGATCTGAGGCTGGTCCATGCTGGCAACGGACGGTGAGTGTCGTCGGTTGACTGTATTCCGTCGCTGACTTGGACCGGTAGCGCTAACGTCAGAGGTGGACGCATTGTTGCCATCAAGCACAGGGGCCGCCTCGACAGACGGTACTGGAGGCTTCTTTTGCGTGTCGGAATCGTCATCTTCATCACCATTTTTTGGATGAGAGTGGTCGTTGTTAGGAAAGCTGGTAGGCACACGTGAGTTACCTAACTGAGGTCTGCCATCTTTTCCGAATGTTCGAAGTCGTAAAACTTGACTTCCAGCCTGAAAGTTATTCGGGCCGACAGCAACGACCCTGATATTGTAAAAATGATCTGGCTTCAATCCTGTGACAGTGATCGCGACTTCGTTTCCCGGTGATTCGCCGACTATATGGACCGTGTTAGTCAAGGTTTGATATTTTCCTCTACCGAAGGTTCCGAGATAGATCTCGACAGTAAGACCGACCATGAACGCCATTGACTTGGATAGTATATTTTTGTACCGGCCGATTACTGGTTGGGCGAGTCCAGCTCAGAGTAGCAGCATCGGATCGAATGCCAGCGAGGGAAACATCTGGAGGTTCAGGCACGTCGACCCCGAGGATATTGATGAGGTCTGGAACGGGTTTCCATAACGTCTGCCACGAGCGATGCAGCAGCCTACAATGAGAGAGGATCAATGGTCAGCGCGGTCCGAGTAAAGGGGATTGGTTGTTTTCTAATTGTTGGCTAGGAGCGAGACAGAGGAGGTTGACTCACCAAACGACAGCACCAAGTGTCAAGACCATCTTGGAGTGATGGATCAAAAGAACATGGATGCGGAAATCCAGCAATGCTTCGACCGTGGCGGGGGATAGGTACTCGATCAGACGACGAGGATCGAAGAAGACGGTGAAACTGCTGCACAGCAAGAGGTAGAGCAGGGCCTTCTGGTAGCTGGCGCGAGGGCTATAGATCCACCAGAAGCCAAGTACGCTGAGGATTAGAGTGGTCAAGACGGGCAACTCCCATGACATGTTCTCAGCGGTCTCGATCTTGGTGGAATATTTGCTGTCCTTCTCTTCCAGACCACCGAGAAGAGTCCAAGTCCAGTTCCGATACCGATACCAAATCCAAGCTCAGGGTGTCGTGTGGGAGGGGAGGATCCTTGAGGCAGATGCCGATGCCAACAGTGGGTGAAAAAAAGGCGGGCATGGGTAAGGATGGTCTTGGTCTTGGTCCTAGTAGACCTTGAGTTGACTACCTAGGTTAGTAGTTAGAGAGACAGCGTGGTCATGGGCAAGGGTGGAGATTTCAGCGGCCCTGTTGGTGTTAGTGCTGTCTCGTTAGTTATGGTTGCAGCGTGCAACTAACTTCTCAGCCACAGCGCTGTTCTGCTGTTTCTTGCGGAGATACAGTATCTTTCGTCATCTAGTGGTACAGTGCTTTGCGTGTCGCCTGGTCCTCAAAGCGTTGATAAATGTGCGCCATGTTACCCTGCTTGGCGATCTTTCATGCAAGATACGACGGTTATCACTGTTTTCATTACACTGTATTTAAATAACGTTTGCCACAACAAGCTTGTCGCAGTTTTTCAAGCAATGCTGTGGTTACCAGAATCCACTGTTTATACATAAACGTTTTTCCAACAAAGTTATCTATTATCGATTGCAACCAATTCTTACCAACCTATACTCATAGTCTATAGTGTTGGTATTCACGTAAAACTGCAGGAATGCACTCACGAATATGGCGCGCTACTAGCTAGCGTCCGTAAGCGGATTCGCAGTCCCTTGTAAACGTCACTGGTGATGTTTGCGTCAGATTGGAAGTTTCACACTCACGGGAGACACGACATAGCTGAGTTTTTCCCAACGGCTCGGGTCTTAATAATGGGGTCCCGTCTGCACGGCATCATTCATTACCATTGTGAACAAGGCCAATTTAGGGTTTCTGCCGTTTTACACCCTGCAGAGAGCGGATGGAGGCGCCAAGTGTGCAC